TTTACTTTTCTTTTTACTCTCAGAGTCATTCCCTATTAAGATGTAATGAGCTCAGAAAGCTTCCTTCCAATTTTATATTTAATACTATTTTCTTCTGTAAAGTGTACAAGATACAAGGTAATAAATAATACATAAGAAACATATTTCAAGAGCAGTGCATTTAAAAATGTAAATGTTGTTTCATAAATAACCTGTGCTATTTTTCTTTGGTTTAAAAGCTTTTTAACTTCCTGTACTATTTAGTATATTCATCTTTTCTTCCGTTTGAACCACTCTGCCTACACTGTTATTGGCCCTTCTCATTTTTTTTTCCATAAATTTTATGTTAAGCTTGTTTATTTTCTGCACTTGAGACAAAGCCTTTCAGATGCAAAAATTCTATGGAGAGAAGCTTTAGGACTTTAAGTATTCCCATAATATCTGAATATTTATTATTCAGTGTTAAGTGTCACACCTATTATGTTTTAAGCCTAAAGTAAAAATTCTGCGCATATCCAAAGAAACTACACAGATGATTGTATAGAAGTGTTGATTTGAATTTGCTTTTATCTTACATATATCTAGAAGTCATGAATTTACCATCATTAGTTTCGTTATTTTACTGCCCAGTGGCGAAGTGGATAGCGCATTGCGCAGCTGCATCACAGGTCCCGGGTTCGATCCCCGGGCTGGGCAAGGTTGACTCAGCCTTTCATCCCTTGAATGGGTCGATAAAATGAGTACGAACTTCGCTTGGGGAGTAAACGCTGGAGGTCCTGCGACAAGCTGACCAGAGCATATGCTGATGCATTCCGGGGGCCAAAGTTAAGAAAGCACATTTCGGGGCACCGCAGGCCGTGGCCCACTACGGCTGTTGCGCAACTGAGTTTAATTTTATTTCCCTAATTTGCAGATATATATCAAATTCAGAGGTAATATTTGAAGGACATCCGTTAGATAACAAATGAGCATGAATATCTGTTCTAGAATTTTCTCCTACAGAATTGTTTCTGAAAGTAATGTGAATTCTCGTTGTTGAGTTGAAAGTAATGTGACCTCTTAAATCAGTTAAAACAATTACACCAGAGCTGTTCTCTTCATATCAAGTTTAGCACGCTCTGTTTTATTGGCGGTTGCCCAAACCGGCACGGCATAAAGAATTATAGGTCTTATTAAGGTGATATAGAGAGTTCTTTCGATTTTGAGTGATAATTTAGAGTTCTTGCCTATTAGGCTGTAAAGTGCACAAAAAGCCGCATTTGCTTTATCTGCCACTGCTTTCATATGATAGGCGAAGGTGAGCCGGTTATCAATAATAACTCCGAAATATTTGTAAGAGCTTTCACGCGTAACAACTTCATTCTTAATTTTGATCTCATTATTGATAATTACACTTTTTCTGTATCGTCTAAAAAGAACAGCACAACATTTGCTTGAGTTTAAATTTATCTTCCAATCCTCACAACATTTATTAACGATGTTAACTTAACTGCAATTTGTCCATGGTGAGTAATGGGCTAAGTGAATCCGTGAGGACGACCGTGTCGTCTGCATATTTCAAAATTTTACAGTCAAAAGGACTTGGCAAGTCGTTAATATAGATGTTGAAAAGATAAGGGGCGAGAAATGTTGAAAAGATAAGGGCTCCCTGTGGGACTCCAGTATAAATTATTTTCTTGCGAGAAATAGCATCTCCACACTTGACTTGAAAAGTCCTGCGTTTAAGATATGAAATAAGGAGCTGGGTGAAACTAACTGGAAGCAGAAAGTACTAAGTTTGTGGATTAGTCCTGCGTGCCACGCTCGATCGAAAGCTTTTTCGAAATCGAGGACGCATGCAGCGACTGCTTTCTTTTCCTGAAAATTATTTGCAACATATTCAACAAGGTTCAGAACTTGATGAGTAGTTGAATGTCTACTTCTAAAGCCGAATTGTGAGCTATCGACGAGATCAAGCCTTTCAAGGTGATTTGTCAGTCTAATTTTGAGAATTTTTTCAAAAACTATCCCCAAAGCAGGGAGCAAGCTAATAAGACGGTGACCAATTTAGGATCTTTTCCCGGTTTGGGGATGGTGATAATTATACTATGTTTCCATTGTTACGGAAAATATCTCAGTTTTATGCAAGCATTAAAAATTTTTGTGAGCAGAACACTGCATTTTCTAGGAAGAGCTTTGAGAGCATCGTTACTAATTTCATCAAAGCTCTTTGCTTTTCGGACTTTAAGGTGTTTAATTCTCTTGGAGACGTGAGTTCAATAAAATTAGATGGGGTGCTGCCTTTCAGAGATTAACCGAGTACAGAATTTCTTCTTCAAGCTTAGTGTTTTCTTCAGGGTGTGTGATTTGAAAACTTTTTTAACCTTTAGCAAGTTAACTTCATTGCAAACTTAACTTATAATTAAGTTTGCAATCTCAGCTTCTGAGTGGTGCGTGACACCCATGTGATTAATAGGAGAGACGAAATTGGTCCTGCTTGTTCTTAGAGACCGGGCAATCCTCCAGACTGAGTTCGGTTGTAAGTCCATATTTTCAAGTAAGAAATCCCATTTATCAGAGCGGAATTCTTGGATATTGTTTTTAATTTTCCTATTTAGGTAATTTAAGTGTCTTCTGTCTTGAGGATTTCGGGATAACTTCCATTGTTTTCTGGCTCGATTTCTTCTTTTAATTAACTCTTTTATTCTATTCGGGATTATTTTATTCTTAATAGCAATTTGAATTTTATGCGTAAGTAAGTAGACTTGAATTTCAAGACCACCTCAGTGATTAAAGTGATTAAAACTACAATTACAGAATATAATAAGTGATTAAAAAAAACTACAAACTATAATCAGTGATTAAAACTACAATTACAGGGATAGTCTTTAAGCTGGTCAGTGAATTCGCTCCAGTTAACTTTGTAAGAAATTTTCTTTAGGGGCGGGAAAATTCCGTAAAAATCAAAGCTTATCAGGAAAGGGTCAGACATCAAATCTTCATGAACTTTCAGCAGAGGAGTAGTACTTATATTTTTGAGTAGCACAATATCTAGAATTTCACCTGTGCCGTTATGATGCAGGCGGGTAGAAGTGTGAAGGACAACAAGCCTAATATCATTACTTAGCAGACAGTTGTTCAGAATCCAGCCATTTGCATTTACCGTCCTAGTATTCCAATTATGGTATTTTGAGTTTAAATCTCCCGCAATTATCGTGGGATAATTTGTAGAAGAAAATATGTCAAGATCGGAATTTAGGAGAATTCTATTCGGAGGAAGATACACAGCAATGAACAGATACACTTCATTCGTGGTACTATAAACAAGTATGGCAGTATTTTCAATAAGGCTATTTGCAGGGAGGTGAATAACAGAGTATTTTATATGATTTTTGATAAAAATTGCGGTTCCTCCACCTCTGTTATGCGTTCTCGAAGTTTAATTTTGTCATTCCCTTTAAAGTGGGTCTCGTTAATTAGAGTTATGTCAATCTGATTTTTATGTAAAAAAATCTCCGAATTCGTGGAGTTGATTTTTAATGCCTCTAGCATTGAAATAGCAAACTTTCAAAAAGCCGGCCTTGGCTGCAATCACAGTATTAATATTTTGATTTGAACTAATATTCACAATCAAGATTAGTTAAGTATTCGAAGGCTTTCCTGCCAACTTCAAGTTTTACTAATATATTTTTAGCATTTTTAAATTCATTGAATAATTCTTTCGCTTTTTTTCACCTGTGTTTTGAACCAATCAAAAAAGGTGGGTGGGTCTTCAGTTGGTTTTTTCCGTTTAACTTTAGGGTTAACATTAGGAAGTGCAGGAAATTCATCATCCTTTAGTTTAAATTTTCTTGCTTTAGCTGCTTTTAGTTTCTTATGATTTTCTATGCTTTTTTGAATGTTTTCAGAGTGCTGCGAATAACCGTTATACGATGAGACGACCTCAGCAAAGGTCGCAGATGGCTGGTTTTTGCTCTCTAGTTAGCTTACAAGTATGAGTTTCATGATATTCGGGACATTTTTAACAGCGCGCTTTATAATGACACAGGGGCCGTGTGTGTCCATAGCGCTGACACTTATGTCACTGCACGGGCCCTGGTCACGATTTATACGTTTCTATGCGAACATCTAGTCCTCTTAGGGTCTTGATTTCATAGATCTTTTTACCTGCTACATTCCTCTTACATTCAGCTACAAAGAGCGGGAGAGGGGTCATGCTATCATCTTTAAAGCTTTTAGGCTACCTAATCTTTCAATAGGAATTCCTTCATCCTTGATTTCTTTTATAACTAATTCAGTATTAGTATTTCGTGGGAGTTTTCTTATAAGTGCTTTTATAGGCTTATGCGACTGGATTTGAAACGTGTGAAAGGGGATGACCCTATCCTTTAACATTTTAGTGACTACTCTGTAGTCTTCGGAGTCATAAACTTTAATATTGAGAGTGTCTCCAGTTAGGTTACCTTTAACTTTGAGTGAATATGCGGCTCGCATCCTGGAGAAGAAAATGATTTTTTCGAACAGTGTTGCCATTCTTGGCTTTGAAATCGTTGAGTTTCTTTATTAAAAACTTTTAAATGCTGTACAAAATATGAAATAGATAATAAAACAAACTCCAGATTCTAAATGCCTATATTCGGGTGGAGATGTACATTATTCAAAATTGGATAACTCTAGGTATATCTTGAATATATTACTGGAGAAATCATTATTACTATTGTTATTATCTCGATTGTTATCATTACATGATCCCTTTCCCCCGCATAAACCAATAGTATTATAGTTAGAATGCGAAAAAAATTATTTAACTTAATTAAAAACATTATTAAAAAACTATTATTAAAATTATTACTTACGAATTAAAAAAGTGCACATAGTTATGACTTTTACAATTTTAAAATAATTATTAGCATTTAGATATTTTTAATAAGCAGCATTAAAGCTTAATGCAATAGTTTATGAATTTTAATTTAATATTCTTGGAAACATTTTGCTGAAATTTTCCGTTTATGTATGTAAATGCATGGGATTATTTTTGTAATGGCAACAATTTATCTGTCCTATCACAGAGCTTTATGATTTGCTGCAGTTTGAATTTCAAGATGTATTCATAACATCTTCAGATTTTGTTAAATGTATTTGTGTGATTAGAAACCTGTACATTACTTTTATATACTTAATTTACCTTAATTATGAAATCTTGTGAAGATAATGAAGATTTGTTTTCTACCATATTAGCTGAGCTTAAATCATTGGGTGTGAAAGTTCCTAAAGCGAAGAAATTAAAGTCAGGTGTAACAAAACAGGTATTTACTTCATTACACATTGTCAATCGCAAATTCAGTACTGATAATTAATCGTCTTATGTTCGCATTAATAATTTTTTTAAAACTTATGTTATTCGGAATTCGCTTCTATAAAAGTAATGATATTTAGATTTCTCTAAGATATAAAATTAAAAGGAATATAAACACGAGTTAAGATACCGATTTCCAATTAAAAAAAGTTTCACTATGCATTCATTTTTCGTAAATCATATGCTGCTTATTTCTTTTCTTTAGGAATTATGTATAATTTGATTGTTTATGAATAAATGATTGTATATTGAGGTTAAAATTTTCCCTTGAACCTTTTAAAGTTTTCCTTTAACTTTTTATAATAGGAATAAAAATAAGCCTGTGGATCTTTTATACATATATATTATTGAGGTATTTAGTATTATAACAGTACATTTTTATTCCTTATGAAAGTAACTATTTTTGCTGTAAAGCTTTAAATTTTGCATTTGTGATGCAGCTGTGTTTCAGAGCAATCTAAAAATAATTCAGCAATTTATTATTACTTACATGTATAATTGAGTACATATTCTTCTCCTGTCATTGATTTTAGGCAAGCATCAATTAGTTAAAATTATGGGTACTCTTATGTTATCGGGACCGGATTCAGAAATGTAAGCGTGTACGCACGTGTGTACGTATGTATGTGCATACATAATATACATATATATCCTTACTTACATACATGAACACATACATCCATACACACACGCATACATATACATTTCTGAATCCGGTCCCGATAGTAGAAGAGTACTAAATTAGGTTGATCTTTACAATATGGTAACTGGTAGTTTGGCGACATTTTAGAGGTGATAAAGGTTACTACCTGGGACTTTGGTAATAATGTGAGCAGTACTCAGTTCCGATTACGCAATATTTTGTGTGAGGGAAATGAGAGATCATGGGATATGTCATGTGATATTAATGGACGAATTACGGTTCTTTAATTGGAAAAAGGGGGAAATCAGGAAAAAAATTGAAATTTTGTATTTGGCTTTATTCTGTGTTGTGTGAAACAGTGTTCGTGAATTTTTGGATCCCATGGCCGTAACTAAAGTGAATTCGAAATGGGTATTTATGTATGTATTAATTTAATGTATGTGCTCATTTATATTTTAAGTAGTGTATTTGAATTTAATTATATTTTAATTAAATGATAGTTATTTTGTGAATTTTATGTTTGTAGGAATTTGGTATACGTTTTAGTTGAAGTAAACGTGCATGGAAATAATTTAAATATCTGACACTAAGTATTTGTTATGATTGCGGTATGAATTCGTTGGTGATGTGTATAATGTAATAGATGATTTAGAAGTAAAAGTTTTTGGATATTTTATTTATTTTATATGTGGAAATGTTCATATTTGGAAAGGGTAAATACTTTTTCGCAATCAGGTAATTTCATATATGTTCTTTTTACCGGGTTTAAAGATTGAGAAAATTGTCATGTATTTTCGTGAAATTTTTCTAATTTATGAGAAAAAAGCAGTGTACATGGATATAGTGAAGAGTGTGCGCAATGCCATTTTTGTGCAATTCTGGGATTTTTTTTAAGTAAAAATAAGTCGGCGTGTACATGGTTTATGTGTATGTGTTATTTTGAAAAACGCGTAAGGAGTACGGTATTGTGCACTTTTTCCCAATTTTGCAGTGAATATTTGTCATGATTAAGCAGTTTTGTTAGATAAAATTTCTAGCATGAGTGTAATTCGGCTAGTAGATTGTTGGAAGAAGTGTTCAGTAGATAAAAAGAAAAGAAACATGTCTTTACTTCGTGAAGACAAAATGGCGGCGGGAAAAAACAATAGAGGGTTGCTGTAGGAAAGTTGGTCGCCAAATTTTCGCCAAAAAATCGCCAAGTTACCATAATGTAAAGATCAACTGTAAAGTATGTTAAAAAAATAGGATCAATTTCTTTAATCTTTTACTTGTGGATATTCTTAAATATCATCTTCAAAAAACATACTAAATTCTTTAGGGGTGCTCATGTTTAGATTTTTGGTACAAGAAGCATGTAAGATGATTAAAAAGTTTTACATGTAATAAAATTATTATTATTAATATTTACTTCTGTATTGTGAAGCAAATGTATAATTATGGTAACAAATTGCCAATGATTAACTGAAACAGCCTTAAAAAGTATTTACATTAATGTCTTGGATGAGTGACTGTTAGAAAAATTTCTTAATATATGAAAGAGAAAGGAAGCCTATGAAACATAAGTTATGTTTTTATTTGGATACAGATATTTTTAGATAAAATTTAGTGTTTTTGGTCACGTTGACAGTTAATTTTGCTATTATGCTGTTAAAACGTCTATATCAGGCTGCTCTTCCTTTTTAACCCAAATGGTGCTGGTTGATATTTAAAACAAATATTTTTTTATAAAGCAATGCTTCCAGGATGGCTATTGCACAAAACAATGTTGAATAAAGTATTTTAAAAATAACAAAAGCACTCACCTTCTGTGTTCTTGGTTGTGTCTTATTTGTCAGCTTCGGATGACAATGACATACAATCTGTGTAGTCCTAGAATGAATCATCCTCCTCTTCTTGATTCTGGTACCCAGGATGCCACACAAACTTCACAGAGTAGGAATAAAAAATTTCAGGGTAAAAATATATTTACAGTTACCCCTTGGTGGTTTTTGGCGGTACATGGATACCGAGTTTGTGCAATTCATTAACTTATTTTGGCTTGCGTGCCGTTAACTCCCTTAACTTTAACCATGTACACATCAACCTATTTTGACTTAAAAAAAATATCAGAGAATTGTGCAAACTAGACATTTTGCAATCCCCCTGTCCTTGTCCATATACACGTCAAACTATATTCACTTAAAAAGTCAAAGAATCAAATGTGCATGCGTAAAGCACACACATACACCCCCCAAAATAAATAAATAAATAATAATAAAAAAGTTGGTAGTGGCTTTTGAGGTCCGGATTTTGAATCATTGGACGTCCGGATCTCAAACTTTGTACTGTAATTTATCTTATCAGGCATACTCATTTAGAGAAGACTCAGGACAGCAATCAATTATGACCCAATTATCATAGCCAGCTACGGAAACCAATGATCAGTTAATAATAACTGAAATTAAAATAATTCATAAGTGATACCTACTGCATGATACACGTACTAAGTGTATCACATATAATTCGACTGTTAAACTGAGAAAATCCAATTAAATTAAACTCAAAATACATTAGTCATGTAAGTAAAAGCGGCTATCATAACACTGGGGAATCTATGTGTGGGGCTGTATAAGAGATATAGCCAAATTTTTTAGGAATTTTCTCATATTTCTATACTGTAAGGGAGGGGTCTTTTTTGACAGGCAACTCGGGTATTTATTGCAGCGACATTCAACACACAATAAAAAATGACCATCGGCCATCTGTTGGTTTTTCGAGCTGTTGAATATAATGATGACATTTCATCAACTTTGTCTACACCAGTTTTTATTGCATTATAAAAGTGAATTATTTCTGGTTTCTTCGTATTGTCACTTTCATCAATGGCATCATCGTGATGCATTGTAGATAATAAAACTACACATTTTGATTTTTTTAGGCACATATGATACTAGTGTCGCGTTTGTTTAGAACACAAATATAGATGAATAAATTTTCCTAGTTTTTTTTCCCCGATGAACTTGGAGGGAATTCCACCCTTGTTTCTCTTCAGGTCTACATGGATAGCTTCTTTGTAAAAGTTCTTTTGATATAACTCGGATAACTTTTGATATAACACGGTAACAATGGATAATTAGTATGAGGATAACTCGTATACTAATTATCCATTGTTACAATTCTGCCTGATCCAAAGGGGGGCACAGGCATTTTGCAATTTCAAATTGGGAATTTTCAACTCTAAAGGGACCTTCAGGCTGTTGTCCTGTGTATGTCTCCATGTTATAGCTGTAAAGCTGTAAGTTCTAGAATCTATTAAGGCAAATAGGTACTTTTCCGTTTCGCTGGCGCAAATCTCTCCAAGCAGACTTTATTGGCGACAACATGCAGTATACACATAAAAAATGTTAACAAATGTTAGTTCTAAGAATTTTTTATTTTGAAGGCATAAACATTTTAATATCGTTTAAAATTTTGTAAAAAGCCAATAAATAAAGACAGTAAATTTGTAAAAAGACATTAATTTAAGAATTTATTATGCTTTCATAGTTCAACATCCTGAATCGCCGGTTCTTATCACGTGACCCCAAGTGATATTATCTTACTTAAACTAAGCTACAAAAATCAAAGTCTCTCAGTAATTATCTACATTAATTTCAAGTTAAATCATAATTTTGAATACAAGTTTAATTGCAAGAATTATTTCAATTCATATGAATAGCTTACTCAGAAATTATGTAAAACCACAGTGCTTTTCTTCGCTTCTGCATTCTCATTAAATTGATGAATTTAACTCTTAACTTTGCCTTTTCTATATTATCTCAGTAAAATTGATGAATTTAACCCTTGACTTCACCTTCGCGTGAGCGGTGTGATTGCATCCTGATTGACTTAATTACGACGAATGGCCTTAAAGCATAAATTTGAACTATCTGATAAAAATTCTATGTAATTTTATGCCAGTATTGAAAGAAACAATTTGATAAGAAATGGCTAAGACTTGTTTTGAAAATGAGGCATAAAAGGTTACCAGCGAGGATATTCCATTTGGCATCAGTTGTACCATTATTGGCGACTTTATCGCCTGTGCCAGCAAAACAGAAAAGTGCCGGCAAATATTTTGATTCCATACTTCGCCGGTTTGCTGGATATATTTTGACGAAAGGAACACTGTCCTTGAAATTTCTCTAATTTTTCGTCGATAGTAGCATATTCACCAATAATGTACATCTTTTGGCAATTTTCATTGAAATCAACAAAAAATTCTCTCATAGCCTCTAGTTTTTTCCTAGCTTCACAATTGGTCACATTGTCTAACCATAGACACCTGAGAAGAAAATAAAAACTTTTATATGACATTGTGTTCTGTAAAATTTCAACGCCTGATCCATCAGTAGCCCACAAATCTTGCATATTTATATTTGACGATTTATGCCAGCCACACAGATATAAAAGCCTAAAAAGTGCTCTAATTTCCACCTCATTTGTCGTTTTGGCATCTCAATCGCTGATTTTCGGTATGAATATTTGTACACTCTACAACGGATCGCATCATTTTAGCATTGAAAAACAATTCCCAACTTTCTAGAGGCTACATTATATTGCGTGCAGTTCCTTTTAATCCTGGTAAATGAGTTATCATATTTTGAGAAGACGTTTTCACTTTTTGATTTGGTTTTCCTTTCTGCCAAACTGTCTTATTTTTGCTAATGAAAATACTTTTTACTAAATCAGGATTTCCGTTGTCTTTATCATTCTGCTCAAATTCACTTTCACTCAAATTTACTGCTGTCGTGAAAACTGTATATTTCTTCATCAGATTCATTTTCACTATCTTGATCAATTTCTTCTTCAAAAGACTCAACTCTATCTAATAGAGTTCTTAAATGTTCCATCTATTTTTCATATTCAGTAAATTTACATTTGCAAGCCATTATCTATCAAATAATCCAACAGACCAACAACGGAAACACTTGAGAGCACAAAGCTAAACCAGCTAAACTGCTACTAATGAAAAATTTTGAAGCAATAACGGTAAATTCCAAGAAATGATTGCTTCTCTCGCAGAAAAGAAAAGTAAAAATAACAACACATATTCCAAGAGGAGTGTCAGACCGAAGGATTCATTAACATGAACTATTTCTAGTCAGGGTTGTTGATTTTCGACACATGGGGTAACTCTGTACTTGCATAATTTCGTCCTGGTTAATGTTGTTTTTAATGTCTAAGCAAAACAAACCAAATTCTGAATCTGCAATTCAAATTCCTATAATGAATTCATACCCTGATTCTCTGACATTCAGTCTTCTCCAGTTCCATTTTTTTTGTCATCATCTAGTTATGTTAACTTAACCGTATCTTTTTGCTCCAAACATGTCCAGCAAGTAAGATATTGATGCAATGTTATGCTAATGTTAACATGCACTGCATTTTTTTATGTTGTTTTTTTGGCTTATCTTGTAACACTGATAAAAAAATAATGAAACATGAATGTAGTAATTCAGTAAATTGTTCTTATAAGTAATGCTTTTGTGATTGTTATAATTTAATTATAATCTGGTAATATTGTTTTAGGAGAAAGTATCACAAGAGACAGCAAGCAAAATATTTGGAGTTAATTTGAGTGAGCAAGAATGGGTAACTGAGGCTGATTTCCTTTTACCAAAGTATGTATAAACACATTACCATTCTTTTTCGGTACTTATGTATTTTTCCATTGGCCATTTCAGCAAATAGAGATTCATTAAAGAGCTTGATTTAGCACCAATAAAGCAGGGTCCGTATGGGTCTTTTAAAGTCCTTAAGAAGAATAAATGGAGCTATAGGTTTGGAAATTTCCTTAGGCTTTTTGGAAATGATTTTTGGCCCTTAAAAATCCTAAATCTCGATGAAAATTTGAAAATTGTCCTTAATTTTTCTTATTTTGCATTTTAATCATTTTTCTGCTACTGTCAATCTGTCCGAGAATTAATATTTTGGATGAATCTAAAATTCAAACTATGCGGCATGTAATGAAGCCATCACAAGTTGTAAAACAATAAGAAATAATTGGTTACTTTGGAATGGAAGTTTCCAAATTTCTGATTACTTTTCATGCAGTCTTTCAAATAGGTGTTATCAACAAAGTACCATCTTATTTGCAATGGAAAAAAGAGGTTTTTGAAATTTGATGTTAACCTTACCTCCATGCCTTGACATACTGTAATGAAAATGTTACAGTAAGTATCAAGAAGGTTGAAGTTTGGATTTCATAAAGCTTGCACTTCCACTCACTGGAATCACCACATATCTGGAAATTTTTCATGATAAGGACAAAAAACATGAGTAGTGCATCTGAAAAAATTCTGCTGGACCAATTAAAATTCTCACGAAAGCAAAGCCCATGGCAAAATGAAAAATGTATTACTAGTGTTAAAACATAATAGACTGTTTTGCAGTAATATGGGTTTATCATATTTATTAGATAATTTAGGGAAAAGCAGGTAAAACTTAAGTTATGTGAATTTTCATGTCGTAGTATTTTGTTTTACAACTTTTATTACAGGGTTTGTATAATTTTTAAAAGTACATAAAAGTCCTTAGTTTTTTTTTTGAAACCATTTTTGGACCTTAATTTCGGCCAAAATCAGCAAAAGGTCCTTAATTTTACTTATCTGACATTTATGCCTGTTTTTCACGACTGCCATTTTGAGTGTGAATTTACATTTTTGAGGAATATTTTTTAGTGATGCATTGAAAATCTGAAGTGAAATATGTATTTGATGGGTTAATATTTGAATTCTTTACACTACTTATTATATACGGTGGATTACCAGAGCTTTATCCATGAGGCGCTGCCTCGACTGAAATATTAAGCATTATGATTTGGGGGGGGGTGAAAGAAGCATTCATGAGATACTACATTAAAAAAAAACTTTTCCCTTTTTGAAATAAGAGTTATTTTATTATACAGTGCTAAACTTATTGATTTATCAACATTTTGGCGATTTCAAGAGCAGCAACAAAATTTTTTATTCTGAGATTTGTGAATTTTTGGATTTTTTTTTTACAAATGTAAATAACATTGATAAATATAAAAATATATTTCAAGGTATCCCTTGATGAAAATTGGTGCTATTCTTGTTTACATCCAACCCAATCCCCAGTAAAATGGTGTCCAAAACAATGCAATAAAACATAATTAAAAAATATATTGTTTCAAAACAATAAATTGAATTTAAATATAAATTTAATTAATTCTTTGCACCATTGCTGCAAGGAATAAAATTTAAATTTTAGCAAACATGTATATACGTAAAAAAGCAAATTTAAAGTTAAAATAATTAAAAAAGTGTGCAAACATATAAAAGATTTAATTTTCAAACTAATCTACAATATCATTTAAATTCAAATAGCATAAGCAAATCAAGTGCAAAACCAAACCATGAAAATAAATTCACCAATTTAGCGAATTAAAATTAATCTAAAATTTTTTTTAAAAATGCATAAGTGAATGACTATTGAGCAGGCAAGAGACAGACTTATCAAGAGGAAGTTGCCTCCAAACCTAACTCTTCAATCATTCAATTTGTGTTTTGTCATTCATGCAGGCAAGGGTAAAAGTCAAAACCAAAAGTAAATACATAGTGATGAACGTCCAAAAAGAAATACCAATAAAGTGGTACCTAGAGAAATTAGCAATTAAAAATTAAAGGTCTAAAAAGGTCAATAATGAAGTATTTTGAGAAATAAGCAATGTAAAGTCTAGTATTAAATTAAACTTTTGAAAAAATTAAATTTTTCAGAAAAATTAATTTAGAAACCAATGCATTTAAGAAACTCTTGTCTACAGAAACCTCCCCGACATGAATATGCATAATTTCTACAATTAAAAAGAAACTAGACATAATTTATATAAACCAATAAGAAACTAAAAAGAACTAATTCATAATTTATAAAAAACAAATATTTACTTAAAAATATAATTACATATCTAGAAAATACTTAAATACTACATAAAAAATACTTAAAAGCAAGTAAGTTTTAATTCTAACTTACCTACCAGATTAGCGTTGGGGTCTACAAAAGTATTTCCTAAAATATGTATTCCTAAAAAATATATATATAATCTCAATAAACTGCATTTTAAATAAACAAGGCTATAACATAACAATGGAAATACATGTTATCTAATCTGCGCAGTACAAAAAGGAAATATCGACCTACCTTATTTAAAAATTTCTGTTTCTTCAGTATGTGTGACGCACAGAATTCCTTGACAGCACCCAAAACTATTTAAAATTATCTAAACTAGAATTTCGTTGTCATATAAAGTCACAAAAGTAAAAATCAAAAATATTCTCCAGACTGTTGGTGGCATTTCTTTCGAAAACCCCTTTTTATTACACCCCATATACCTTGCATAGTGTTCGTCTGAGCTCCGGTTTCTGAATCCTTAATCTTATATCAAAATTTACTGCGAAGGGAACGAAGCCATTTAAATCTTCATTTACACACCAGTCGATCAATGTTTTCTTTCCCATTCGTTCCAAAATGTACAGAAACTTCAGTTTATCATACCACCAGCAAGCATTTTACGGTGTAAAGCACAAAATAAGCAACCAACTAACATCTAATACATAAAAAAGCCTTTACAAATATTTTTTAAAAAATCAAAATCGCCGTAATTACGCGTTATAACCAATCGCGTCATAATAGAGTTTCCATAACATTCAACGTAAAAAATACTCAGGTTATCATAAATGAAACAACCACTTGGCAATAATCCAAGAGGTACCTAAAATATAGGCTAGCCAAAATTATAGTTAAAAAAATATAGGCTAACCAAAATTATATTTAAGAAAAAAACGTAACATTTTTAATTTTCTCTTACCCGATTTTAAAGTGACATTACTTTCCATTTTTTCGACTTGCAAATATTTTGATTCTGAAAGTTAAAAATAATAAGTGCTATTATGCTCAGTTTCCGAAACACTTTTTTTCATGATAAGAGTTTTTTTAGTCCAAAGGGGCTTTGTCCCTGAAAGACTGTTGTTTCCGTTTTGCGATTTTGCGTTGAATCACTATAAATGTCCGTTTCACTTTTCAAACTGTTGCCACCAAATGTTAGAGTCTTGCATTATATTTGAAAAAATTAAATAACGAAAAATCTGCATAAATGTATGTCTATTTCTCACATTGTGATAAAACAATGGTACATAGAGCCATTGAATTTTGAATGACGTAATCCTCCTACGAATATGGGCTATGTGGAAGACCAAATTTGGAATTTGTTTTATTATCGATTTCATCTTTTGTAAAAATTTAACAAATTTTTGAGTAACAAACTCAACAATTTAAAAGCGAGCAATGGCAGCACTCTACGGGGGGGGGGGGGGGGGGACTTTTTATCTTCATCGCGCAGAACTGTGTATCGGAAATCCTAAAGATACGCTCATTTTAAAATTATTTTGCGACATTGCTACTGACTGAACTGAATTTTATGGTTTAAGTGCAAGGAACATGATATTTAATAAATAAAGGTAACACACAAAACATCAAAAAAAAAAAAAAAAAAAACACCCCTTTAAATGTAATTTAAAATCAGATTTTTTTTCCCCCCTAAGTAATTGGGTTGGAATCTTTGTTTGTCAGTTTTCTCTCGAGAGTTCACTTTTCTTTTCTGAACTCCCCCACCCCTTAAAAATTATCTAGCTTTTTGCTCTTACAGAGTTTTTAGGAATTTTAGACCAAGCATCTCAGAAGTTTTAGAAGTATTTGAACACGATGTTTATACACTTACAATTCCAGAAAAATGTAATGAAATGAAAAATGTCTTTATCTTATTAATATGTAATGGACACATTTCATAGAGAATTTGTGATGAATTTCTTATCCTTTAATTTTTAAAACAACAGTGAAAACAAAATTATTTGAACTTTTTTATTTTGATCACTGAAACCTTTCTCTTAACATGTTTATTTTCCCTTTATTTTCTCATCTTTCCACTAGACACAAGCTTTAAAGCAAGCAAAGAAAACCAACAGTTTATTAAAAAATTCATCTTATATGTTTTAATACATCATACACATGCAGTGCCTGACATAAATTCTAAAAATTTTGCCATTCCTAGAGTTTGTTGTTTGGTGCTTCACTAAATTCTGGAAAAACTGCCACACAGGCTCTGGCACCAGCCCTGTTCATATATCATTTCATATTTATGCTCAATATTCATATTATTAAAGAAATTAAAACAGTTTCTTCTACATATTCTAAGTACATTAAATTCTTTACAATAAGAGAAATTCGTACTGTTCTGTTATCGGGACCAAATTCAGAAATGCATGAACTTGTGTTTGTATGTAAATGCATACATGAACACATACATACATACATTTCTCAACCCAGTCCTGCTGAAATTTATAAAATGAAGAGGAAACTTGTTGAAGAAGAAATTGATTTGACTCTTAAGATATGTAAGCAGCCATTGTCCCTTTCCATCCTATAAGAACAGGCATGCAATCTCAGAAACTGATTTGGTAAAAGTGTATTTAGGGATACCCCTTAGTGAAAATTGTCGAACATGGCTACTGAGTTTGTGCAGTTCTTTGACTTGTTATTTTGGCTTGTGCGCCGCTACTCAAAGCCAAAATAACAAGACAAAGAATTGCTCAAACTCAGTATCCATGTACACATTGACCTATTTTCACTTAAAAAAAATCCCAGAATTGCACAAACTTGCATTGTGCTCTATCTTGACTTTATCCATGTACACATCGACCTATTTTCACTTAAAAAAACATCAGAGAATTGCACAAACTTAGCATTCTGCACTCCATTGACTTTGTCCATGTACACATCGATATATTTTCATTTAAAAGTCAAAGGAGGCAAACAAAAAATGCATAATCTCAATAAACTACATTTTAAACCAAACAATAAAACAACATAAAAAAGGAAAAACCTTTTATGCGTTTAAGCACTGCACAAAGCAAATGTCCACTTACCTTATTTAGAAATTTCTTCGTCTTCAGTCTGTGGCACACAAAATTCCTTAACAGCATCCAAAAACTTCCTAAAATTATCTGAACTCGAATCCATATATCGGCGTCACCACATAAATTCACAAAAATAAGTCAAAAATATCCTCCCAGACTGTCCGGAAAATGGCTAACTTAAACCTTCATTTACACACCAGTCAATTAATGCTCTTTTGCCCTTTCATTCCAAATCGTACAGAAACTTCAAATTGATCTTACTACATTCAGCCATTCTACCTTCTAAACAATAAAACAAGCAAAGTACTCCGGAACCAACACACAGTACAAAAGCCCTTACAAAACATTCCATGATTCAAAATTTCCCGGAATAATGCAACCGATTACATCATAATAGGATTTCCATAACATTCAACTACTCAGGTTACCATAAATGAAACAACAACTTTGCGATAAACGAAACAACAACTTTGCAATAATACAAGGAGTACCCTTAAGTCAACTCTAACCACTGATTTTTTATTAACTGTAGAGAACAGGGCTTTCTAGAGCAATACATAATTTCCTGCCACTTGACAGCAAAGCATCATTTCCATCTATCATCAACAAATGTTAGTGCCTGTAAAAGATACGTATTACAAAATCCAGCATAGCAACACGCATAATGGTACTATTCGGTTTTGAGGGCCGTAAAAAAATTGCAGCGAAAATGTATGCACAAAAGCACCAAATCTAGCAAACGCGCCCATTTAAACAGTGCGCCAAATCCAGCGTATGCGTTGATTTCAGATTGTGCAAGTTTATATAGGCCAATATTTCTTAAGACGCCATTGACATACTAGTTTAATTTTCAAATCTCTTTTTTGATTTTAAATCTTTTTTTTGATATCCTATGGATTTAACAATTTGGGAATTGCCCATGATGAAAAGTCGGCAATAGAATTTTGGGTAAAGTGCAGAATCACCCACTGCTTGACGTGTTTTTAAGAATTGCACATACTTGGTATCCATGTGCACATCGACCTATTTTCACTTAAAAAAAAATCCTAGAATTGCACAAAAATGGCACTGCGACCCTTGACTGTATCTATGTACACATCGACCTATTTTCACTAAAAAAGTAAAAGAAAATTGACAAAAATTCAATTGTTTAATTATTTGTTTGCCACTTTAACAAATAAATGAGCAATTCTCTGCACTTTACCGAGAATAATTTCAAAGAAATGGCATCATTCATTATAGAAAATCACGTTTGAACAACCAACGAGATGAAATTATGCTTTAGCGATAAGTCGGAAGTGAAATAGCGATGCAGGCATCCATTCAGTTATGTTTAGTAATTTTTATATAAATTTTAATAATGATCTAAAATAGTTATTTATTCTTATGCTTCCATTCAGTCATGTTTAGCCTTTTTCATATAAATTAATAATAAAAAAGTATTATATGAAATTAACCTTTCATCTAAAATGAAACATCAATCTTAGATTGTTATTTACTATTATATTTCCTTTCTTGCCGCAATTATTTTTGGAAGCATTGGCATCAGCAATATTTTGGCGATTTTTTACGACCCTCGAAACCGAATAGTACCCACCTAATAAACATGAGTGTCTTATATTGATGGGGTAGGGAGTTAATTGCAACTACTGAATAACCTGTATCTTTGCACATAATTCAAGCTTCTATGTTATGTCCTTATTCTCAACCTCCTACATATATATATAGTGTATGTCTCAAACTTCTGTTTCCAAGCTCCTATTATCTCCTACTCTAGCTTAATTTAAGCTCATATATTTATACGTCTAAACAGATGTTGGAAGTATACCTGTTTAACTATGTTGGTCACTTGGTTTCCTCTCTTCCGTCACTTGTATATTTCAGCATTCATACTTGCATTGGTAAAAATATATACAGTACAAAGTCCGTAATCCGGACTCATCAGGACTTCGGCTTTTCCGGATTATAGATCGTCAATTTAAATCTGGTAAGATGGCATGCAGAAATTATAGAATTAAAAATATGAAACCATAATTTACGAAATAAAGAGCAATTATGATTTAAAGGGTATCAAAATTTATAAAATAAGCTTAATATTTATTTATTTACTTTATTGAACATTTCTTTCAATGTAAGTTGTTTAAGTTGCTTCGTTTTTTGTGCTAATACTTTCTCTTTAATTCTATAAACAGATATAATTTCTTGTTCAGTTACAAAGTTCCACTGTTTAAGTCGTGTACTTGCTGTGCTGAGAATACCGACTAACTTGTCAATCGAAATTTTTTCATTTTCCAATAACTTCTCTTTCACTTTCTTCATTATCGGAAACACGCGTGTAAACGCTTTACATGCATGCGTAAGTTTGTGGCTTTGAGGTCCGGATTATAGATCATTCCGGATAATGGACGTCCAGATTACGAACTTTGTACTGTATATCAGTGTGGCTATTCAGAATGGTGCCTGCCTGTACCATTATTTTCACTACTTTTGTACTGATGCCTTTCATGATTGTTTTTAGGCTTATTACATGTAGTTTGCTCCCTCCAGATTGTAACACATCTGGAACTGCACTCTATACAGAAATAAGTCACCTGTAAACAGAGTCATCATTAAACAGAATTCTGCTGCAATTGTTGATACTCCAATCATGGGGATATCTGCACTACTGCAACCAGTGCATTTTGCAGGGGACATTGCTAATGAATTCTTTCCATGCAGTCATTATTGGTTTATTTGAATAAATGAGTTTCTGTACCTGCAGTGAACTCCCTTGCAGTATGGGCTAATGTCATTTGTCTATTTCTTTTAAAAATTGTTATGAAATAAAGATACTAAACAGCCACTCTGTTGTAGCATGTTTTTGACCTTGATCTGTTTGTCTGCGTACATCAGCAGTGTCTTAAAACATTTCCAGATTCTTGATGCGATACTTTTGGCTACTCTTTAGTCTATATAGACTTGTCCCAGTGTCTGTCTTCCTTCTATTCCCCGAGTCACATGCTGCTCCTCACAATCTGTCAGATGCCTTCTCTACAACATCCTCCATCCTTCATGTATGAAAATTTGAAGCACCTCCTTGCACTTCTTTCCACATGTGGCAAAAGAATGGGTGCAAAAGTTTTGCATAAACTTGATTATATTATATAATACATTGTGTTTAGTAATGATAATGATGTATACTACATAGTTCTGTTTTATTTTTAAAATAACATTGCAAGAAAGAAGGTAGTTTTATAAATACTTGTTCAAATTTAGTCACCTCTTGTAGCTGAAAAGTCCTTAATTTTCATTTAAAGAAATATGTGCGAATTCTGTAATGGATAAGTGTGACATTGCAACATACTTGCTCTTATCTTCATTTTAATTTTATATAACTCATTTAATTCTTGATAAGCCAATTTTCTTCTTGTGAATAAAGATATAAATTAACAAATACTGCTCTGTTTCTCTTGCTTTTGAAAAAATAATTAAAATTTGAAACCTGACTTCTACAGAATAGCGAGCAGTGGAATATTTTCAGAGATATAGGATTCTACCATTGAAAAAGGTGTATCATAATGGACAGCGTATTGGACATAATTTGAAAATGGGTAAACTGTGGTGATGCAACGAGTGAAAATAAGGTCTGGATAAAGACCTTTTGTGAACAAAATGTATGTGAACCTATTATGTCAAAAATATCTTTGTTTTGAAATTTAAAAGTTATTGCTGTAAAATGTTAATATATTTAGTATAATGTATGAAATCACTTATTTTAAGAAATAAAGTTTTGATGAATATGTTTACTATAAAACTACATTCATTGCCTCCTAGATTCATTGCATCATCTACTGCGTATTTATTAAAATACAAAGATAAAGAAGTTGGTCTTTTTCGCAAAGCTGGTTCAATTGCAAGACAGAGAGATTTACGGGTACGTAGAAAAAAAGATCCATTAGCAACTTAAACAACTTTCAATTTTTTTAATGATCTCTTATAATGCGATTACATTGTATCATTTCTAACATTGTTCTACTTCTTTCTCTCATCATGCAGTCAGATAGGAATAATTGCCTATTTTCCTTCTTTTTAAATTTTTTGAATAATATATTGCATATTTTAAGAAGTTTAAATGTCTGGAAAGAGACTGTGTTTACAGAATAGATGCAAATAAGCAATTTACTAGTAATATTAGTAATTAAATGTGTGAAATATTGTTTATGAACAATTTTGAATGAAAACTGGTTTAAAGTAGGTAATAAAAGGCAGTTCATTTAATTCATGTGATGTACATCATCCAGCGACTCATTCAGAGTTCCTTTCTCCTGTATTGTATGCCCAGGTTTTTACTGTACCTCTCTAAAGTGTGTTTTCTGCGTAATTTTAAACTTTACATTGGCACATTTCTCTTTCAATTTGCTTATGAAAATACTTGTTGGATACCATATTTTGTATTGCTATTTTCTGGATTCATAAAATGAACCTTGTTGGTCAATATATTTATAAAAAAATTCAAAAAATGAAATACCATCGTAGCCATAACAAAAACAGCTTTTGTGCTAAAAAAATGAAAAGTGCATAATCAAGGTACTTAAATGAAAAAGCACCTCAACTTGCAGCAAAGCTTTAGTTTACACTTTTTATAACCAGACAGAACTCCTGTTTCAAAGCTGTCATATATTTGAGTAAATGTATGGAACATATTGTTACTTTTCACAATGACTAGGAAAATGACAATTTGAGTATTGCTTTCCCAAATGAATGTTTTGAAAATAAAATTCTTTGTTGTTAAATCTGGATTAAAATAACTTTCATTTCTGATCCAAAAATTATGAAATGGATTTAGGATTTGCAAGTATGAAACTATGCATTCATTCACATCTTGTAGAGTCAGATAATTTAAAGTCTTCCCTTGAGCTTCTTGAGTTTAATACTTATATAAGTTAATGTGAGCAATATTTCCATTCTCATAAGAGTGGCACTACATGCATTGATAAAAATGATTAAAAGTATTTCATTTATTTTACAATTTTGTGACAGAAACTTTAACTTTTGTTGTTCTACTGTTAATGCTGCACTGCCATCCTTGAGGGGGGGACTGTTTAATTGGGCAAAAAGATTTAATCTTTATATACTTTTGTGGCATTTTAATCCAGAAACTTTATTATGTGATCAATGTATTCTTTTTTATTTATTATGGAATATAACCATTTTTGAATAATAGGTTAAATTAGAGAAAGGAGAAGATTTTGAAAAGGCTGAACCAAATGATGTAGCATCTCTTTTAAAACAATGGCTAAGAGAGTTGCCAGAATCTTTAATTCCTACATATTTACATGATTTGTTCATTAGGTATGTATATCTTGTCTATATTTCAAATTCCTAAACATTCTGCGACTCTGAATATATTTGTTTTTGTGTCTTATGTAAAACTGTGTATATTTCTTGGGGATTTTATATTAGCTTAAATTTGTGTAAAATGGTTGCATATCTGAGAGCATATTTAGTTTATAAAGTATATGTAAAGTTTAAGCCCGTTCAAAGCAGAATTATGAGAAACTCAGCAAACTCAACATTCATTCCTGTATGAATTCCATAAATGTGAACTTCAACTCATAATGCCAGGCAGGTGGCCACTCAGCAAAATTTTTTATATTAACTTGATGAAGATAAAATAATCTTTATTTGTTTTAATTTTCTTCTGTTTAAGATAATTTGTGATATTGTGTTAAATCGTAAATGAATTGTAATTATCTCAGTTGTGCTCTCCTTATTGTAATTATTTATGAGAACATGAACTGCAGTTGTCAGTCATAATAGAAATCCTAGTTATGACACTAGCATTTAACATGTATTAATTTAGCATGTATTTTTACTATAGTTTCATTTTAGTATTTCCAAAATTAAATTTTTAGTTATTTCGCGTGCTGTCTACATATATGCAGCTCTTTTTATTTACAATTAAAACACACACACATATATATATATATTGTTAATAATTTTTAGCAGATTTTCGATAAATTAACCATTCAAAAGCATTAAAATCTGATGAGTGCTTTAATCAGAAAATATTCTCTTAATTTTTAATACTTACAGTCGTATGCCATTTAAATTGGGGAATATTCTTTTACTGCAGTTTTCATTTAAAAAAAATAATCCACAAAAGTATGAATTTATGATCTTTTATCAGTGCTTTTACAGTCTTCAGAACTTGCTGTTCTCACTTTATAATTATTTTCTTCAGTAACACTAGATGATTTTGAAGGGGGGGGGGCGGAATGTTGTAAAACAGCCTGAAATAATAGCAGTATTAGAAATTTGGCCAAATCGTCATTTTTCTTCCAATTAAAAGAACCTCGTATACTTCTAAATTGTGTGTACTTTCTATAGATATTGCATGCATCTAAACAATTTGTGAGAGGGAACTGTGAATTATAAATTAAATAAAAATTGTAAATGTTAACTGTGAATAATAAATTAAGTAAACTGTAAATTATAAATTAAAAATGTGTTCATTGCATAACTTGGAAACTGCACAGATGCAGGTAGAAGTAGGTGGGATACTAGAATACTAGAATTCACTTTTTCCATTAGTCCCGTTACACTAACTGCAGTTCCACCCAGTTTTGAGGATGAATGCCCTAGGGGGGTAGGGTTTCCCTGACACCAACTTTTCAAGAGGACATTTGGCTTATTGTATATTTTGAGTGCATCCTTGCCATACGGACACTATATGCTTACAAACATTCATGCCTTTTCTGGGAGTTTAACTGAGGCCATCGGTACAGAAATCAGCATTGCTAACTGCTGTACCAGCAAAAATACATATCTAATGAAGTCCAAGTTATACAGTGCATTAGTAAAGATGATTACTGACATTAAAATATTAATTTTCTCATTATAGTAATTGTTTTACAATGCTTGATATGTGCTTAAATATAAGAGAGTAGTTTTTTTGGGAGGTTAATACTGTTATGCTATTTTCTTTTTCACATTTGTATGGGGTTTGTGTGGATTTGGAGTGAATAATGACGGCAGCACTTGATGGAATCGAAACACGCTGTATTTAGCCAATATTAATTAGGACAGCTCCAAAGTCACTTTTTACAGTCATCAAAGATCTACTATAAACACGCAGGAACAATCGGGGACACAGTCTTCACACTGTCAGGCAATAACGGTGGAGACAGCTTCACTGCAAAGCACCAGAGTACAGCTCCCGACTCTGCTCGGTCGTTCTCGGAACTCCACGTACTCTCAGATCTCCAGCTACAAGCTGCATGCACACCTCGAGACAACCGAGCCACACTCAGTCCAGCACTCTCTCGATGATGCCCGCTGACTAACGCGACTCGACGACCCACTCGGCACTCGCTGGCTGACTGTCAACTCGATCGTCTCTGCACAGACTAACTAGATGAGACACACTGACTAACTGCAGGTTTATATAGCTTTCGGGTTGTGTTTGAGAACATTCTGGGCTAAACTGGCAAGAATTCGTTTCAGAAGGTTCTCCATTCGTCCATGGCGTATTGCCAGTTTTGTCGCCAAACATAGCAACCCTGCCTTCTTTGCTATTTTATGGCAACCCTAAAACTGCTTTGCGAGGAAGCCATTTTACCGTGCCTGTACATTTCGTAACACTGCCCCCTCCCAAGGCCTGCACGTCCTGGGCAGTACAACCCTTGGTCAGAAGTCTAATTCGGTACAAACAAAACGTAATAAAACAAACAACATAACTAAAGAAACAAACATTTACACTATGTACAAGTTATATACACAAATTAAACACATAACAATTTTAAATTATACAAATTAAAGTTCATAATGAATTTCAATCTCAGTCTTTTCATTGAGTGATATCCAGGTCAAACACTTTTCCACTGTAATTCTCAGGTGTATTCCTGTTTTACAGATCACAATTCAGTCTTTTCAGAATTTTCAACCACAGGAAGGTCTAAAACAGTTCGTTCATCACTCTGTAGTTGATTCGCATCGTGTGTACAGTTCTTCTCAGTAATTTTAGCAGTTGGTACATGCTTATTTTCCTCGATTTTTTGAAAACCAGTTTCAATGTTTGCATTAGATTTATGAACAGAATCCAATTTTTTTCTGAGCAGAAGTATCCTGATTAAGAATTAAGTTCTTATCTGCACAACCTACACTATGAGACGCACATACATTACCAATAAGTATTTGGACATCTGTGATAGAAAAGAAAAACTAATTTTATTCAAAATCAATAGTTGGTAGAGCCTCCACGAGAGGTAATTACAGTGTGGACCCTCCGGGGTATACTTTCCACAAGTCTTTGTATGACAGCTAGTGGTATTTTCTTCCACTTGGCTTGGAGAAGACATAGAAGTTGCTTCACCAATTTTGCACGGGTAGTACACCACTGAATTCAGCGATGCAACTCGTCCCAGAGGTTCTTGATAGGGTTCAGGTCTGGATTCTGGGCAGGCCAGTCCATTCGATGAACTCCATTGGCACCATACCAAGCCTTGGTTAACGTCAAAACATGACAACTGGCATTGTCATCCTGAAAGTAACAGGGGTTCAACCCGTAAAACTGCCACAACGCAGGAAGCACATTGTCATCCAAAATAGTGCAGTAGGCATCGGAGTTGAGCTTACCATGAATGGGGACCAAGGGTCCCAGCCCATACCAGGAGAAACACCCCCAGACCATAATTCCACCTTTACCAAACTTGAGTGTTGGCACAATGCATTCTGGCAGGAGACGTTCTCCAGGTAGACGCCAGAGCCAGACCCTGCCATCCGAACGGTAAAGGTTGAACCTTGATTCATCACTCCAAAGAACCCGTTTCCACTGATCTACACTCCAATTTCGACATGCTTTGCACCACATTAACCGAGCAGCGCAGTTGGACTTTGTGATCAAAGGCTTATGGGCAGTAGCACGATCATGAAAACTAAGCAGATGTGCTTCCTTACGGATGGTATTCATTGAAACAATACTCCCGGATGTCTGTTGAAACTCCTCGTGGATGAGGGCTATCGGTTGGGTGCGGTTCTTCCGAATTTCTCTGAACAGCACTCGTAGGTCTCTATCCCCTAGTTTCGTTGGTCTGTCGACTCGGAGCACATTCCGACAATCACCCCTCACCTTCCACTTCTTAATCACATAGGCCACTGTCGATATTGGTACTTCAGATCGCTAGATGTCCCTTAGGGGACCGGCCACATTTGTGATACCCGATAATTATACTTTTCTCGAAATCAGAGAGCTCCGAACTGCGAGGCATCTTGCATGCGACTAAAGCCGATGCTGTTTCCTACACGTTATATACCGGCGGAGTCAGTGGTGTACCTTGGGACCGCAGATATCGTCATTTGCATAGGTGTCCAAATACTTATTGGTAGTCAGTGTATAGTTTGCGAAGTAAGGGAATTTTCTTGCAATACTGGAACACTTTGTGTAAGCTGTACATCAGCTTTTTCCACCTCGGTGTCACATGAATTTTCAGATGGTTCAATACTTGCTAACAGCGACTTTGTAACTTCATTATCATTTTCTACGATCTTGACAGTCGCATTTTCGTTTTCTTCTATCTCTCCTTCAGACACACGAGAATCAAAAACTTCTTTCCCGTCTTTCATTTCTTCCACTTTTCGAACTCTGTTTTTAATCTCGTTAGATATTTCATCCTTAATTTCTGAATCTTTCTCAGACAGTTCATTTGCTACTTCCTTCATTTCTTCCTCCTTTGGTTCTTCAACTGCCACTTCTCTCATTTTCACATTGTCTTTTATGCCTCCAATATCTTTTGTAAACTTCACTTTCACCTGTTGGTGTTGCTCTCGCACCTTTTCTTGGCTGACATTTATTTCTTCTCTTCCAGTCCAGCTTTGATCTCAGCTGTCATCTTTTTATATCCAGCTATTATCTCATCTTATCCAGCTTTCAGTTCAGCTGTCATCTCTTCCTGTCCGTCTTTTATCTCAGCCAAGAAGTCCATCAAAGTCTTCGTTTCCTCCGCCATGGCTTTCCTCTGCTGGTGGGTCACCGGCATTCACTCACAAACCCCACTCCTGACACCAGTTGTTATGTTATTTTCTTCCTTCACGTTCGTACAGTGTTTATGTGGATTTGGAGTGAATAACGACGACAGCACGTGATGGAATATCGAAACACACTTTATTCAGCCAATATTAATCAGGACAGCTCCAAAGTCACTTTTTACAGTCGTCGAAGATTTACTATAAACACGCAGGAACAATCAAGGACACAGCCTTCACACTGTCAGGCAATAACGGTGGAGACAGCTTACTCTTACAAACATTCATGCCTTCTCTGAGATTTTAACTGAGGCCATCGGTACTACAATCAGCATCGCTAACCACTGTACCAGCAAAATTACATATCTAAGGAAGTCCAACTTATGTAATGCATTAGTGATTACTGACATTAAAATATTAATTTTTAATTTTCTCATTATGGTAATTGTTTTACAATGCTTGATATATGCTTATATATAAAAGAGTAGTTTTTTTGAGGGGCGGGGGGTTAATACTAATCAGATTGTGTGAGACTGATTGTCTGGGCTAGCGAACAGTGAGGAGTGTGAAAAGAGAAATCAACTTTGTATTACTGAGTAATGTACAGGGAGTTGAGAGGGGGGGGGGGAATTAAACTCTTATCATCATTTGAAAGGAAAATAATTATTTTAGTCTTTGAAAGAAATAATAAGAGAAGAAAATAATGCTTTAAAGAAATGGTTATTTTTTAAGTATTTGAGAAGAAAGTAATAATTTTACCCCTGTGAAAAGAAATAGGTAATTAAGCATAGAAGAAAGCAGAACTTTTGAGGAAATAGTTATTTTGCCCTTGAAAATAGTTATCAACTTACTAAGAGAAAATATATTGCGCTTGAAGAAGAGGGATTTATATCTAATTATCCTTGAAATTGATAGTTTGTTCAAAATGTATGCCAAATTAGGGTTGCTTTGGCTAATTTTAAATACAGTATTTTCTCATGCACTTTTTTCTTTACACATAGGATTTAGCTATTTATAGTAGCAATGTCTAATATATGAATAGATACCAGAGTGTATTTGTTTAAATCAAAATAGTAAATGTAACTCATGTCTTTACAAATTACAGTAATATTAATACATCTATTCATATTTATTTATTTATTTTTTTAATCTGCTAACTTTTCTGTAAGTCCTTTCTTCAGAAATGACACCATGTAATTTTCCTCACTTGATTTTAAAGAAATAAAATTGGTAAAAAGAGGGACAAAGTATATATACTAGAAAATATAGTAACTCTTTTCATGCCTTAGCTGGTTTTAGACATGCTAAGAGAAGAAATTAGGAAATAAAAAGTTAGTATGTTATTCACAGAAAATAATTAAATGTCATATGTATTTCCAAATACTAGTCAGTATTTAAAACTTTCAGATTGATTATCCACATTCCAGTTTCACTCGTCAGTCAAACTGCCTAATTTTGACATATTATATGCACAAGCAACAATAAATAACACATGCATGCACATACTAGTACATTCATGTTTTAGTGCATACAGATTTGCATGCTTTATATTTAACGCTTACTTCACTAAACAATATCCACTGGTTGTAAAAATGCGAACAGTATATAGATTTTTATTCTTTCTCATAAAATATCTTGTTTGCTAATTTATGCTTCTTTATATTACTATTGTTTATGAACAGAACAGTACTTTTGAACCATAAAAACAGTCAAGCAAATGTTTTTACCTATTCACAGAGTCATCAAAGGTTGGTGACTTTTTGTAGGGGTGCAACTAATCAGAAAGTTCCCTGTATATATTATTATTGATTAAAAAATCATTATTAACTAATTACAACTCATGAAAATTGCATGTATCATTACCAGCATTTAAAAGCATTTAATATTAGCATTAATTGTATATTTATAAAGCAAGAAAAGTGTCTGCAGATTATGAAGAATGTATTTTCCATTTAAAACTAATGAAAAGAAATTGTCAGTATGGTTAATAATCTGTGTTTGAAGACAGGAGATTGGGAATATTTCTGTATTTCTTTTATATTTACCGAAAGAAACTTGATTTACTTATCAGTTTACTCAGAATGCTTTAACTTAATATTTGTTTACTAATATTATTCCTAAAGTAATAACGCTTTTAATTAATTATTTAGCAAAATAAGAATTTTTTATTCTTTGATGCAAATTTTGATAAACAACATACAATGACAAAGGTTTTTGTTAAATATGCTTTAATAGTCATTTTTATGGTAAATTTTTAACAGTCTGTGAATTAATTGAAATATTATTAATTTTTTCAAATAATTCTGTATTTAGATGTAACAGTTTAGCTGATGATGAGAATCGTCTTACTGCAACACTTTTATCTTGTCTTCTTCTCCCTGCTTGCCATCTGCATACATTGAAGTATTTAATGCATTTCTTGGCTGATATTGCATCTAACTGTAATAAAAATAAAATGGGTCCTCACAATTTAGCTTTAATCATGGCACCAAATATTTTTGTTTTCGCAAATGATATTGCAAAATCAAGGCAAGTATTTAAAACTATTTTTTCTTTTTAATATATGCAAATTATGTGTATAAAATAATATGACTCTGAAATTTTGCAGACAGGAAATTCAGTGTGAAAACTTGATGTATTTTGTTTTTAATTTGTTGAAAAATAATTTTAAAAAGTTCAATTTGCATCATATATTTTAGTTTTACTAATTCAATTTGCTTTATACATTGTTCTAAAATTTAATAGTAACTCACTTTTTATTTATATTAAATTAAAAAAAATTCCAGGATAATAAAATCTTTTCTTCTAATTTTTAAAAGCGAATTTTATTTTGAAACAGTGTATGTACACATGTATGCATGAATATATTTTGAAAAATATATTCATGCATACATGTGTACATACACTGTTCCAACTAAAGCAATGGTTTTGACATAAAAGCCGCAAAGGAAGAGATGTTTACATTTTTAAAATTTCAAGTATAGGCAAGAAAAAGTGCCTAAATGAAAAAAATATTCTCCTATCCATTACTTTTTTATGAAGAGTAGAAGAAAGATAAAAATTATTATCTGAGTTTATTTCACAAATATGCACAAGAAAAAGAGCACAAAAGGAAAAATATTGTCCAATTCATTAATTTTCCATGAAGAACAGAACAGCAAAGAAAATTATTTCATGTCTATGAGTGTATTTAACAAATATACATATTGGTATATCTATTTGGTAAATAATCAAATTCCACATGTTTAAAACTATGTTACTACATTCACTTCAGTTGAAGCTTTCATACGTGGGGATTATAGAAGAATGTATCTTATAGACATTATCGGGCTACTTTGTCTTCCTGAATAACTTCCTTTTTTGTTACATCATATACTGTATTTATTCTGAACTTTTTGTTGCACGAGATGAATTAAAAAAAAAAGTAAAAAAAAAAAAAAAAAGATTTTTGTATACAAATTTCTGGCAACAGCATATTACTTGAAATGAGAAATATTGCCTGCTACTTTTTAATTAATTTTTCTCCAGAATGTTGCATGTAAAAAAATTGAAAGAGGGGTTTTTTTTTTTTTTTTTTTTTTTTTTTTTTCTTTTTTTTTTTTTTTTTTTTTTTTTTTTTTTTTTTTTTTTTTTTTTTTTTTTTTTTTTTTTTTTTTTTTTTTTTTTTTTTTTTTTTAATTTTCTGAAGAGAAATTCCTGTTTTGTAATTCAAAAGCATCACAAAAAACATGGTATTAAAATTTCTAAATGAAAATAAAGCAATGTTATTAACTAGAAAAAGAAAAACCACTAATGGAAAACTTCCTACATGGAAAGAAGCCTTCAAATGAGTATCCAAAAATGGCACTTACTGTTTTCTAATGTTTCTAAAGTTAAATCATCGATAACGAGAAACACAGATTTAAAAGAGTCCACAGTTTCATGATCATTACAAAGCAGCTGTAATAGATCAATGTTTCCAAGGAGGTATTGTCGTAGAATCACATTATTTAAAAACTGAAAAAGACTAGTTTTTACTGCATCGAGCTGTAACTGGAGAAAACAAAGACATATCAAAATTTCACTTTGATTTTGATGCATTATCTTATGCTGAAGGCACACTATCACTGAATGATTGTTTAGAACCAGATACTTCTTTCCATTTAAAACCTGTTTGACTGCTTTCAAACTGATGTGGATATGGACTTGTGGCTTTTGGAAAATGCAGCTGTGGCTCTCAAATTTTCTGAATTTCAACATGTGGCTGTCATTAACATGAAGTTTGGCCAAACCTGCTATGTGAGGGCTGTCTAAAAACTATCCAACCTTCGGCCAGGAAAAATATATTACGTATGTCACAGAATTGGGATCCCTAAACGCCTTCAAAGTAGGCCCCCTTGTGTCTCCATATGCTTAGCCCTTCAATCCATTCACTGCTGAAAATAATTTTGGAAGACTTCTTTTGAAATGGTGTTTATCTCTGCCATTGATTCTGCATTACCTCTTCTCTACTTTAAAAATGGAATCCTTTCAATGTCGCCTTCAATTTAAAAAAACTGCTAGAAGTTGCAAGGATGTCTGGAGGAAGGGAGGTGAATGACTGTAATTTCATGTTTTGTGAAGAAAATCTGGATCGAATGTGCTAGAGAATTGTCATGACGCAACTGCATGTTTTTGATCATCCAGAGGTCTGATCTTTATGCTGAACTCCATTACGAAGTCGGCAGAGAACTTGTTTATAGTATTCTCATTGTATGCCCTTTCGATGTGTATTCATGATACACAATTCCACGAATATCAAAGAACACAGTTAGCATCGTCTTGATTTTGCTTTGCATCTGTCACGTTTTTCGACCTTGGGCACTCCATATGCTTCCATGGTAATGAATGTGCTTTTGCTTCTGGGTTGTACCCATACACCCATGACTCATCTCCAGTTATCATGATGTTCAAAAACTCAGAATCAGTGCTCATAGTGTCCAGCGGTCTTGTGCAACTTCAAGACAAAGTTCTTTTTGTTCCTCCGACAACAGCTTGGGCACAAATTTTTCAGCCACTTTGTGAATGTTTAAATCAGCATGCAAAATTGCATGTATGGAATCTTTTTACGAATCGAAATCTCTTGTCTGATCAAACGGCAATTTCTATCAGCAACAGCTGCATTTTGAGCAGTTTATGGCCTCCCAGAACGCTGATGAACTCGACTTTCCACTGATATGTGGGGATTTTTGAATCAGTTAAACCACTGCTTAATTTGTGGTACCCCCATAACATCATCTCCAAACATTTGCTGGATCTTACGAATCGTTTCGCTTTGAGAATCACCAAACTTTTGACAAAATTTGATGCATAACTTTGCTCAACTTGTTCAGCCTTCTTGAGAGAAATAAAAAAAATCTGACAAACACTTATAATAGCACTTCACTCAGTAACAAGCACATGGCCTCTGGCACACTTAAATGCAAGTTAAAAATTCAAGCCTGCATACTAAGCTATCTCCTTTCACTGTACGAGGGAAAATTCAAGGTAAGATACTTTTCAGACAGAACCTCGTGTATACTATTAATATTAATGGTGGTTATTGCATCATCAATTGAAATATGGCAAATTTGTACAGATAAACAATAACAAACGACAAACCTGTACAAATCTTGCATCGTTTAATTATTTCTTATTTTGCACTACTTAGTTACCTAAAGGTATACCTTGCAAAAAAAAAAAGGGGGGCAGTTCTATATCTCTTATTCTACTAAACAGATTCTCAAAATTTGACTTGCGTTTTCCATGTCTCGAAAGCGTAACTTAGGATATATATTAAATTTATATACAAGGTGGTTAAAATTAAAACACCCCTACTCTGAGCTCTCTATACATCAAACTACCGAGTGTAAAGGCTCCAAAATTGTTAAACATACTATTCAAGACATGGGAAACGGATTACGTGAAAAACAAATAGTTCCAGAAACACCGATAGATGGTACTGTACAACAGAACATATGCTGAAAAGACACAAAATACACTTTATAACACATTTTATTCAAATTTACCAAACATTCATATCACAAAGACCTTATCGATGCAAGGGAAGCTGCTGAATATGGTTTCCTTTGTCAAGATGTAAAATCTGGTCTGTGGACTGCTTGTTCAACTGTGGATCGTAATTGGTTGATTGAGATGCTTCTCACATGCAGAGTGAGACTGTCTTTCATATCTGCCAAAGTTACCAGACTTTGTTGATAAACAAGAATTTTTAAGTAACCCCACTGCCAAAAATCACATGGATTAAGATCTGGAGAACGAGATGGCCAGTGAGCGAAATTGCAGTTACAATGACAGTTTAAGTTTCTTAACTTTTTTGTTCTCTTTTTTTCATATCAGCAATAGAAATTAAAAAGGAATATTTCCGTATTTTTTTTTTTTTTTTTTTTTAGTATTATTATTATTGTTATTATTTATTTGGGGCTTTTTAGCATATTTTCCGTTGCACAGTGCCACCTATCAGTGTTTTGAGAATTTTTTTTTTTTTTTTATGTAATCCATTTCCTTGTGTTTTGAATAGTATGCTTAACAATTTTGGGGCCTTTACACTCAGTAGTTCGATGTATAGAGAGCTCAGAGTAGGGGGTGTTTTAATTTTAAACACCTTATATATAGTATTATTCTAACATAGGTATTTTGACACAAAATCAGACATTTTCTGAAATAGCAATTTTCTCTATATTTCGATTCTACAACTCAAATTATGCCTAGATATTAAATTTTGTAATTTTTAGTGAGAAATGTATGCAGAAATTAAAAAATTTATCTTTGTGCAGTTTTTTTCATTTGTGCTAAGAATAATTCTCTTAGCAAACTTCTTAATTTATAGCAACCTATTTTTTCCCTTTTTTCATTGTATTCAAGTGAAAAAAATGTCATTGTTCTTACTTTCAAATAATTTTAATGCAGTATGTAAACCACATTTGGTGTTATTTTTGCTTATAATATGCCAAACTTCAAAATGCACCGGTTGCGCTTTCGAGACGTGGAAACCATAAGTTAAATTTCGACAAACGGTCCAGTGGAATGGGAGGTATGGAACTGTCCCCCCTCTTTTTTTGTTCAAGGCGTACATTCAATACATGAATTTAAGTACAATTTTTAATGCACATTAGATTTTTCTTGATGATTATGAAACGTGTAATATAACTCTGTTATAAAACATAGTTAAGAAAGGGGGGAATTGATATTTTTATGTATTATATAACTTAATTTCTTCAGCTTTTGGCTAATTAACTGCAATCTACCAATCTAGGCTACCAAAAGATCCCACTAGATAATTATCTGAGCATATTGCAACTGACGTTAGTAAGCTGAGTTTCTTTTAAAATATTTTTTAGCTTTTATGCATTTTTTACATTTCAATAACATGTTTGTTTTCCATTAATGTAACTTTGTTGCTGGATATCATTATCAATGTGTTCGTATCAAAAAGATGGATGTTTGTTAACTTGAAAACTAAAGCTATAATTCTTGTCAGATTTTATATACTTTTTCTTTATTTTTTAATTATAATATTCTAGATTCTGATTTAATTCTTTTACATGGGTTTGCAGTAATAATCTTGTACAACTACATTCATCAGTAATTCAATTATTGATTGAAAATGCTGATAAAATTGGAGAAGTTCCTGCTTCTGTGTCTTTACAACCATCTGTATTAAGTGCTGATGATTTAGACTCATCCGGTGATATTTTGGATAGTAGTCCACATAGATCAAAGAAGAAACGGAGGAGTGGCCCTGTACAAGGTATAAAGCAATTTTGTATTTCGTTAAATTTCAATTTTAATTTTATTAATAACAATCTTGTATGTGTACTGCTGTTCTTCTTAAAGAATAAAAGAACAACACTTTACTTTTTTATTTTGTCTAATTGCAGATTTGAATAATTCTTTTAAAGTAACACTCTAAAAACTTCCAAAAATTTATAATTTTAGAAATTCTGATAGTAAACAGTAACCTCTGCCTTCCCTGGGGGGGGGGAATTCTTGAAAACATACCTGAAAGAAGAATACTTTAACCTCTTTGCTTCTGACATCACGCGAACAAAGTTTCCCATGTGCCTGTGATCTTGGAGCACTGAACGTCACTGTGTGCCCAAGAGAATTTCGCAGTTAAACCTAACGTGCAAAAAGAATTCCTATTATACCTGCTTTTTATCTAAATGTTTGGATTCTATTATGTGTTATTTAAATGTTATTTCTTATTACATAAACAGAAAATCCTAATACTTAAAATAAAAATTCAGAATAAGTTAAACTGCAATATTAGTAATAATGATAATATTCTTATATTTAAATTATTTATGTGCAATTATGAAGGAAAACCTTAAGGATATAAGTATCAATGCTTATTTATCCTGTCACTATATTTATATAAAAGCTGCTTGCATTATGTAAAATGTTTGTTAATTATAAACGTGTTGTTAGCGTCACATATTTTAATTTCATAAAATAAAATAATATTCATCAGGGCCCTCTAGAGATTCTATTCACTAAGTTTTCGTGGCTTTGTATACATTTAAAATTTGAAATAAAACGTTCCGTTTCAGTGTATCAAATATGATATGGTGGGCTGTTGGAGACACTTTGCTTCCGTATCACAGTTGATGTAGTGGCGTCACGTATATAATGTGCTATAAGAGAAGTTAGAACTTCAGTTATCAGGATTACAGTAAAGGAAGTTATCACCAGAATTAATATTTAGGACTGCATGCAGTTGGAGTAGTTTCAAAGTTACAGGATCCAAGTATAAAAAAAATGGCAGTGTGCAACTTTGAAAAGCAATGACAATGTAACAAGAAAATTATAAGGAATACAAGATTCTTATATTGTTACGTCGAAAAAAAAAATAATATATTTTTCATTTAACTTTTATCTCTTTAAAACTGACTGCTTGGTGCCACGACAGAAAAAAAAAACAAACTAAACTAACTACTCTAAACTTGTACTTACATAATCAAAACTTTTAAATCTAAAAGACATCAAAGAAAGATATCCTCCCTGGTGTTTTGGTACAATCACGATTAATTGACAAAAACAAAATTCGAAAATGCACTTCCACAACAAAATCTTTTACAGGCTATCTCTCACTAAATGAAAACTAATTTAGATCTCCAACCTGAAAACACATAAATTTCAATCTTAAATCTAGAGATAAGCTTAAACCTTGAACATTTCAAATATCACACAGAACCTCTCAAAACACCGGGGAAAGATACAATCTCCCAATTAAGAAGTCTACTCTTCAAATCAAAATAAATTCAGCAAACCGATCGTATAGTCACCAACACTAAAATTAATTTTTTTTTTTTCTACTACCGCAATATAATTACCCAGGTTCGGTTGAAAAACCATGTTTCCGTAAGGATCACATGGGTGACCTACAGTAGACCACAATTAATACACACAAAAAAAACGTACAATATTAAAGATAATAAACACATTTATTGAAAATTCCCACACATTATAACTTAAGATAGCTGGCCAGACTACCCCTACAAAATCTTTTAAAGTTATTCATAGTTTTTTTTTTTTTTTTTTTTTTTTTTTTTTTTTTTTTTTTTTTTTTTTTTTTTTTTTTTTTTTTTTTTTTTTTTTTTTTTTTTTTTTTTTTTTTTTTTTTTTTTTTTTTTTTTTTTTTTTCAAATCAATCTCATATTTAACATTAATCCATTAATACAAAAATCATAGCGAAACACGTCACAGTTCTTAATCATTTTAAGCAGGAAACCAAGAAGATTAAATTTAAAAGAACTAATTTAGAATAAAACATATTGAACATAGCACTTAAACATTAAAACAAAGATTCACTTCCTCCAATTAGTTCAATTGACTTCTGACTATTAAACATTAAATAAAAAATTACTATCTCAGCTGGAAGTTTGGTAAAAATATTCAATTTTTAACTACTTAACATGTCAACTCTTGCCTTAGTATTAAACATTTCCAAATTTAAAAAGATTATGTATCAAAATAAAAAGTCACTCACGAAATCGGCGTACCACCTTTGAGAGACTCAGGGAGCTGCCCAGATCCATTGATCCAATTTCAAATCACCGAAACAATAACTACTAAATCTTCATCGTTGTTTTCCGGAACCGGAGCCTTTTCATAGTTCATAGTTTTCAAATTCCTCCGTTAAGCAGCACATTAATTCAATCAACTTCCCGTTTTCGAAGTTCCACTTGAGATAAGAGAAGGGGATCGAAACTGGAGACAAAAGACCCAAGCAGACCTCAGGCGATGACGACTTTCCATATTTCCATCTTTTCGAAAGCAAAATAGATACTCCAGCACGAACGAGCAGTTCAACTGTTTCCACAGATGGGAAAAAGAAATCTCAGCGACGAAATGAAAATAATAGGCCGCAAGAATCGCCGCCGTCAAACATGTCGAGCCCCCACACTGTCTCGGACCCTTCCTTACCCAGAAATCTCGGAGATAAAAACTTTAACTGTATACCGCGGTCGACCACCGAAGAACCGTCGCGTTTTTCCTCCGCTCCATCTCAGCACCTCACTGACCGCGGCCCGGCCCCGTAGGGGCCGCCGTCAAAGTAGCAAACCCGCTAATGGCTCCCAAAAAAAATCTACTTAAAAAAGTCTTCTCTAAAAATATCGCTTTTTCATTTTTTTTTTTTTTTTCCAAGTCCAAAAAAGATCGCTCCTGCCTCCCGTGCAACGGCTTAAGAAACTTCGGTTTTTTCATACACCAAGAAACGCCTCAAAATTACTATTGGCTCAAACAAAACTAAAATTAAAAAATTTAGCCAATCTTAAGGAAACTTAGAATCCCTTTCGCCAATTAAAGAAAGGTCATAAATCGCCACTGAAATTCTCAGAAATTCAGAACTTTCTACAAGAAGACAGACCCTTTCTTTCCCACGCAACAGAAGAATGTTTCCAACCTATGACTCTGTCAAAATATCGCTGCCCCTTAGAACTATTCGCCTCTGAACGAGAAAAACACGTGTTTTCAACCTCCGTAAAAAAAGGGGAAAATGCAGCTGGACAGTGACCTCTAACCTCCAAGGAAGCCGAATCGTGAGAAACGGAGATACACCCGCGCCCTTTTAACTGTAACACAATTCTGCCAAACTTAAAAGGAGCTTTGCCGTAAAGTTTAACAATATTAAATATTATACATTAATTTAAAAATAAGGATAATACAATTTCACAGTAAAATAATACGCAAAAATTATACACAACAAAATTACATAAGAATTTTCCATAACAATATGCTATATCTGTAACTCTTTAATATAAAGAACAGTTTGTTCATTTAACTTCTGATGGAGTGACTGGCGACATCTCTGTCAACTTTCAAGCTTGACATGATTTGATCAGATATCTTTCTTGTTGCGTTTAAGGCTTACAAAATACATCAGTTTTTATGATTGAAATATGTGTGTGTGTTTTCCTCAAGAATATTATGTAATTTTAAATATAGGCTTTTGATGTTCAAGTCGGTAACTAAATAAGATGACTGTTTACGTAATTTCAGAGTGGAAATTTTCTCATTGAATGATCTCTTTTTCTAATATGAATTCTGTTTTTTATACGCTCAGCCATCTGGAATTTGACATTTTCCGAGCTGTCTGAATATTTAAGCTTGTATTGTACCTTCACTGTGTTTTTAAAAAGTTTAAAAAGTGTTTAGAAAGTTCCAGGAAGTCAAAAATATATTATGGATTTTACTTTCAGAGTATATAAAATTATTTAAAGTTTTAAACAATGTTTGAAAGTAATTTACTTTCAAATTAAGCTCAGTAGGAATTTGTATGTTTAATTACCCAAGTAAAAATTAAGCCAAGAATTGTTTTACCTTTGACCTAGTAATTTCAGTTGCTTGCTAAGCTCATTTTTAAAATGAACTTTTAAGTTGTTTAAATTCTGTTTTGATTTGCAGATCTCTTCACTGGCATAAGGAAATTAGTAGGACAAAATTTAACTCCTCCATCTCAGCGAAAAAGAACACCAGAGCTTTGTGGAACTGATCCACTATCATACAAGCGAAAAGCAGATCCTGAACAGATGGCAACAAGGGTAGCAAAAAAGTATGTTTTTCAAAAAAAAAAAAAAAAAAAAAAAAAAAAAAAAGAGCAAATTAAATTTCATAAAAATGCAGTTATTACCAGAAAGCAGATCTTCATTTAAGATTTCTGATATGTTTCTCTGGTGTTTGAAGTTATTTAATAAAAGTCTGAAAAATTTTAAAATAAAGTTTTATAAATTTTTTTTTTTTTAAAATAATTTATTAGAGAAAACTTTAACACTTTAAGCACCACCTTATTGGGGGGAGGGGGGGAAAATTCTTATTTTGGCCGCTATTATTATTTTTTTTTATTAACATGTAAGTTTTCTCCTAATGTCATTTAATGTATTTATGTTTCTAGACCTTAATTAATTGTATTTGTCAGCATGTATAAGGCCCATTTGGGCAAAAATATATATTGTGTGTTTAGATACAAATAAGGCTTAATGTGTTAAATTTAAAGAATTATATTAGAGGAAATTTTAGCTATTATCAAAAGTAATAAAGTTTATTCAATGCTTTCATTATGGTTAAAAAATACTGATTTGCTTTACTAGTAAGCCGGTTAAAAGTTTTTTTTTAAAAAACTTACTTTTCATGTTTTAGTGTTTTACAATCTTTACAACAGGAGATTACAGCATTGATTGTTATTTATGTTTCATAAGTATAAAAAGTGTCTTTACAAAATCAAGCATACCACCTGGTATCTGAATTTGCCTTCGACCAATTAATTTTTTATAATGGATTTCTTATTCCTAAGCTATTGAGTGATTGGATGAATGATGGAAAGGACATAGCAATAGCTATCAAAATAATGAAAGGTACAAATAACACTGTATCTGATAAGTTATTTGCTTCTAATTACAAAAATGCTTCATATCATTATAGCTAATTCTTATGATCTTGTACATTTAAATCTTTCAGATGTGATCTGATTTAATGGGTTATTGATTGCAAACATGGAATCTGTTGGATAAAAGTGTTTGTGATTTTATTTAGGAAATGTCAATGCAATTTTTAATATGTTTACTCTTCCCAAAACAGTTTAATATGTTGTAATGACAATATTAGTTTGTATGACAATTGGGCTGTATGCAGAACCCAGAAAGTGGAGACTGACTCAGCAAAACTGAGTTTAAAGCTGCTATTTTATTACAAAATATGTTCCTCTGTTCCAATCGCTTATTTCATTCAGAAAAAAAAGACTATCAATCTACATCAAATATTATGTTTTGTGAGTCTATGTCAAATTTGCTTCATTGCACTGATTGAGAACTATAAGTGGAATATGTGTGGAGATTTAAAGCTATTAGGTTTGTTACTTGATGTATAATAAGGTTATATTACTGTTGCATAGACTCTAGTTGCTACAGATTCTGCTAATTTCTTTGGAAATTCCTTAAGTACCACTTACTACAGAAAATAATGAAAAAAACTACGAAATTTACAGACAGGGGGCAAAAGAAATGGTGTACATGACTGAGCCACTTGTTCATCCAATGATTAGTGAAATGGTCGTGACATTATGTATCACATAAATGGTCATTCTAGTTTTGAAAAGTAGCCAGTCTTAGATCTGCAATTTTCCATTATCTGATTATTCATCTTTCTAGTCAAGCACCGTATAGTGAAGGATAGCAAGGTAATTGCTGCTCATATTTGGCTAGATTATAGCCAGAAATGTAACATGTACTTCTTGCACATTGTGATTAAACTGGAAGCTTTTTAAGTTCCTGAACTGTGTCACCTCAGAATTAGGCTAAAATATCAAGATAGAAATTTATATTCTGCAGAATTTCTCTGCATCTAGAGTTTCTAAAGATCATGCATATTGTATTGTATGAAACAAAGACTTTTCAATTTCATACGATGTAAAAGATGACTGTAAATTGCAAGTATTTTTGAGTTAAAATAAACAGAAACATATGTTTCAAAAGCCAAATGCTATTTAATTTGATTTTTAATTGAACGTAACCTTTCAGTTTTATTTTTGGACCATTCAAAGCAACTCTTAAAATGCAAAGTTTTTATATTCTGCCATGTAAAAAAAAAATTACCTCATTCAAATGCAGCTTCTGAAAAAGTATATATATATAATTGCTTATCATATAATTTTTGGAAGCACTATTCAAATTATTCTGAAATTTTAATTGACAAAATACTTTAATAAACTTTCAAATTAATAAAAACAATTAAGAAAGACTATTTGCAAGACATAACAAAATCTTTCATAGGAAGTGGAAGGCAGACACTTAGTGAGTTCAGTTTATGCCAAAATGTCTGTATGAGAATTACTTGAAATATTGCTCTCTAACTCTTTAGAAAATGAATAATCACCCTCATTGATGTCACTAAGTAGCTCATTAACCATGCAAGCATATTGTTCAACTCTAAAAGTGTCATGCAAGTATAAAATAAAAAAAAAGGGTTCAAAGGGACGTCAGAAATACAAATGTTTATATCAAGTGGCGAGCTAAGGAACCCGAACTATGTTTGTTTACATTCCGCTTCCCCGAAACAGCCGACTCCAATATTACGCAGAATGTGATCAAACTGAAGGTAAGGATCTTGAATCCATATTAAGTTCAAAAGTATTGGACACTGTATGCCATCTTGGGGTGTTTGAAAAGTGTTTTGGCTTAAAATGCATATACACATCACCCATCCCTTAAGTATGTTTACCAGTGATGTGTGAGTGGGACACTCGGCTACGAGATACATTCCTAGGGAATGCGTATATGGGATGCTCGTCTGGAAAGAGCTAAAAATGGAGAGCTGTTCGACCAAATTCAAGTACAAAAACTCTTGAAACTGTTCTCATTGAAAAATAAATACGCTGACAAATGAATTATGCTATAGAAAGAGATACTGTAATTCAGAGCTTAAGCTTGCTAAGAATGCTGTTTATAAATCTTAACAAATGCAATTTGTAAGTGAATTATGAGTATTTCTGGTATTGATTATATGTATATTTCTTGTTCCTATCTAGAATTGAATTTTTTTTTTAAATTTCCTTCTAGAAATTATAATTCAGAAATCTGATAAAGGTGCATGGTTTATGGATTCTGAGTTCCCATATGATTATTTGTCATTTAAAATATTTGGTTCAATAATGTATTAGCAGATTTAGTGATATTTCTGCTTGAGTAATAAAATAATATGCTTCTAATTTACAAAAAGTATTTTTTACAATTCAGTTTTTTAAATTTATGGATTTTAAGTTACATAATTAAACTAATTACATTTAATGGTTAATTAAAAAATGTGTGCTTTACATGCATATTTTAAAGTTGTAAAAAAATTGTTTGTGCATTGACTACTGACATGTTTTGGTGTAAGTTGGAGTTTGTGTTAGTGCTTTTCATGTAAGTGGAAGACAGTCATGACTCAGTGTTGTTGCTTTTTGCATAAGTGGAACAGTCATGACAAAAAACTCATTCTGACTAAAAAGAATGGCTAAAAAAATGTTGTGTTTGATATGGGAACTGTTCTGATCATGCTGGCATGACAAAATGTTGCTTTTTATCTAGAGAAACCTGTGAGCAGGTCTTGACATTTATTTTTAGCAGGTGTCCATTTATGCATTTTCTTTTACTATGTTTTATCAGTACAGTACAGAAAGGAGCAAAAAGTAAGTATGAAATTCTGTTTCAGATTGGGTAAGACTGCAACAAACCCATGAAAGGTTTAGCTCATTTAAAGGTTTCAGTGAAGCCTAGAAAACCATTGAAGATGAGCATTGGTGTGGGAGCTAGTGATGAGCAGAATACCAGCAGATGTCTAAGTTGTAGAATGTTTATGCAGTATCAGCAATTTCCCATCCTCTTTTGTGTGTTTTTTAAAATTATGGTTGGGTTAATTACGATTTGGAGTTGACCAAGGACTAGTGTATAGTTTAAAACTACTATTTAGGATTAAACTTTAAATCTACTGTATAAGTTTAATGTAAAAAAAATTCTCACTTTTTCAATTAATATTGTTTTTCTTATCTGATATTGATACATAAATGAATATTTTTCTTTTAATAGGCAGGCAGTTGCTAGAAAAATGAGCCATGATGTAGTAAATATCACCCCTAATAATAAAGGTAAAACTTTCAGCTCTTTTGAGGTAAGATTGTGAAAATATCATTTTAATTATCACTTTAGATAATTAATCATTTTAATTCTGTTGCAGTTCATAACTCTGGAGTAACAAGTGAAAAAGTCAAAAATCATCATCGTCGCAAATCCTTTGGTTTACTTCGAAGGAAGAGGTAGACAATACACTTTTTAAATTTTTATTCAGTTTTTTTTTAAACTCTTTTATGTTAATGCCATCACCTGATATTTCATTATCTAGTTAAAAAAAAAAAGGTTGCCAAGAAAATGATAGGCTTCAATATAATTTTTCTCCTCTTTCATCTGATCTGTTTTTTTTAATGTAGCTGAAAGACCGATTACATTTTGAATGTGGTCAAAAGAACTGCTTTAATATCACGGTGATATTTAAACATTTAGAACTGAATGTTTTTGTTTAATGTGCAATAAAAATTTAAGATTTATCAAGGTGAGGAAAAACAAAATTTTCTTAAGGAAACAATATTTGTCAGACGATAAAAATTATCATGATAATGAAATTCTCTTTCAGAAGAAAAATTTTTGGAAATGCATTGCTAAATTGCATATTCACCAAATTGGTCTAAGAAAAGGAAAACTAAATTGTGGTAGTCGTATTCTATTTGTTATCAGACTGATATTTACTTTTTTTAATAGGAAAAAGAGTTTGATTTTAATTAATGTAATGGTTGTGCTTGATGTATTATTGCAATTTTTTAAAAATAATTAGCATAAATTTGCTTATTTTTTAAATCGTCTTTTTCAAAATATTCAGCTTGTTTCTGGTTTATTCTAGTTTTGCACACTTTGTATTTTTTTATTATGTTTTCTTGTTTTTTACTTTTTATATTGCACTGTTTGCATAACAAATTTATGTATATGATTCCTTCCTTACTACATGATACAGCTTTATAGCAATAAACAATTTATTACCAAATTTATTGATAAATAATGATAAATGATAATTGTTATTTTAAACTACAGAATTTCCATAGATTATAATTTTAATTGTGCTTTTTTAGTAAATATATTAAAAATACTTATTTTAATAATATGTATATCTTTAAAATATGAGTGGCAGCCGCCACTGCCAAGTGGTAAAGTTGCTGAACACTGGCAGTTTGACCTGGATTTGATTCTAGGCAAACAGGCTGACTGCATGGGTATTTTTATGGTTTTCCTCATGTGTAGCATAGCTACAAGCCAGTTTTCTGTAATCAAATAAACCAAACCTTAAAATATATGTGACTGTTATATTAGTAAAATAAAAATGTCTGAAGAAATTGTATTCCTATCTTAATGTTAATTACATAATAACTTCTAGGAAATGTGAAGGCTGATGTCAGTTGCATAAGTAAAGACTAGAATTTATTTAGTTTCCATTTCTGATATGTTTTCAAATTTTTTGATTGATCTTAAAAAGCCATTGTAATATATTTACTGGAATGCGTACAAGCCTCACATTTTTTAAAATATGACATCTACTAGATTCATATTAATGAAAAATTCAAAATTATAAAGGGGAAAAACTGCAAATAAAGTAGCAATTTTATCATATTAAATAGAAAATTCTACATATATTTTTCAAAATCAAACCATACAAAACATTTTTGTATTTAACTGTGTAATAACTCGTTACACAGTCATCTAAGCAATATGCAAATTATAAATTTAGGTTATGAATGAAAAGTGCTTTATATTAATATAAATGTTTTTTGGGTTAAATTATTCTGATATATTGGACTAAAATCAGTATTTTTCCCCCCTTCTTGTAGATTAAAATCTTGCAAAACAAGCCAAGAGCAAAGCCAGCTGTTGCATGCTGATAATGATAATTTTGATCATTTAAAGACAAAGGAAAATTTGACACAGCTTGTAAGTTTATATACATTTCCTTACTGTCATAAACAATGGCCTGCACACTGGTATTTTGTATAAAAATAATTATATAATATTTAGAAATTTAGCTTTTGTTATATCTGATTTAAATTTCATAGTATTTATACATTGATGTATTTGTTTAACTGATACCTAGTTGAAATTACTTAAAGTAATAGGTTAAAATGTTAGGTATTTACATATTGATGCAGCCACTTTTTTTCAAAGCAATGGCAACTTATAATCCCCCCAAATTATATAAGTATGTATTTTACATTTTAATTAAGTACTTTTTGTGAAAATTAATTGATAAACTTACAAACAGCTTTTTGTTCCAGTAATTTTGTGTTGATCATTGTCGGAGTACATTCTGTCGTATTTCAAAATCAAATTAATGGCGGAAAATAAAATATGCCTACCTGGTTTTCTATGGGTTTTTATTGATCACCCGTGCTGTATTGAGTAACATCTTAAATATCAGCATTGCAAACCATATTCCTTTGGTTGCAATTGACTGTGTATGTAATTTCTTGAAAACATGTATGTAGTTTCCTTGAAATGGTGATAATGAAAAATTGTGGAAGTAATAATGAAATTTAAAAAAAATTACTAATTAGTTTAATAATATTTATTAATAAATATGCAAATATAAAAAGACAAAGATACTTAAAAACTTTTTAGAATCCTATTTAGCATTGCTAAGTGTAATTATAAAGAAATTAGAAATAGACACTTTGAAGTGAACTCTTATTAAATTGTTTTATGTTTATAGATGCAGTGCTGTTATGTATTTCTGTATGAATAATTTTATTCAGTTTTAGGTATGTATCTTATATTTTATAGTATATCTTACAGGAGGTTACAATTTATAATAAAACTCAGACTGAAAGACTGCCAGAGTCAGATCTAGCTACCGAAGCAACTGGAAAACAAGATGTTACATTGAATTCTCCAAAAAATACATCAAACAACTTTCTGACAGTCCCAGAAAGATCTTTTTCACCTCCAAGTTCTTCTCCTTATAATTTGCGATCAGGCACCCTTTTTGAAATGCCTGTTAATGGAATCAAGTTTTCAAATGAATTGAAGCTTGAAGTTGCTTTTGACAGTATCAGGAAATCAAAAGAACGAAAATATTCTAGAAGGCAGTCCATTTTAAGTGTATCAGCAGATAATACACCAATAAAAAGACGTACTAGTTGTAGAGTGAAGACTTTTGTGTCAGATGGGAATATTAGAAGACACGAAAAAAATGATAATCTTGCACAAGGTAATGCCAAAAGTAATAGCCCTAATCTTTTTAAATACAACTATAATAATGGTAACAATACTAGGGTAAATGGAACCTGTGAAGGTATTTTGCTTGAAAGTAATAGAATAAAGAGCTGTGCTACTGAAATAATTAGTGAGCAGAAAAATGTCACTATTTCTTCCCCATGTAAAACTGTGTTAAAAAATAATTTGGAAATCCCAAAGAATAATGTGTCGGAAGCATATAAAGCATATCACAAGCCTACTATATCAAGACAAGAAGCATTCATCATAAAGACCAACAAAGAGAAGAGATCAGGAAATGAGACTTCTGAAGTTAAAATTACTGATACAAATAATCATGCACGTGCTACAGAAAATGAAGGTGAAAGGCTGTCTCTTCAAGAAGGCATTAATAGAGGCTTAGATTCTGATAAATTTCTTATAAATGAGAATAAAAATGACTCTTGTGCAACTAGTGTACGAACACCTGAAACTAGGCGATCGAAAAGAAAATGCAGAAATGGATCTATTGTTAGAGGTCGTCCAAACACCGTCAAGACAGGATTAAGATCTGATGCATGCCAGCGCTTCAACAATGAATCTATACTTCTAGAAAAGCAAAGTGCCTTTTTGGATGCAGAAAAAACTTTGGATCCACGTGCTAATGGAATAAATGTGCATGCTGAACAAAATGATCTTAATATTTCATTGCTTCAAAAAACAGAAAACTTAACTTTATCACATAATATTGCGCCTGAAATTTTAATCACTTTATCCAATTGTGATGACTCACTAAATAAGCGTAATAAATTCGATAAAGATACTAAAATATCGAATGATATAATTAAAGAAGACAATTTGAAAACAAAAGATTATGTTCGAAAACCCAGCAACTCGGATAGCAAAGTGTATCATCTGAGAAAAGAGAATCTTCGACGTTTTAGAAATTCTTTACCTGATACTGTTTCAAAACCTAGTTTTGTAAATTTTAAATGCCAGTCAATTAATGAAACTGATATAAATAAATCACAGTCCGATCAGACTTTTGTAACGTGTGAAGATATACTCACTGGTATTCCAACTCCAGATTCAAGTTTTAATAAAGACTTAGTGTTCAAAACACCAAATATAAATAATTCCAGTACAAATTCTATAACTTGGATGAGTGGGAAAACATTTTTAAGCTCTCTTTCTACTCCTCAAGATAATACTGGCAACAAAAGAGAAAGTATTGCTATGATTTTGAGAAATAACCCTGGTCATGTGCAAGCGAAAGTGAGTTTGTATGATCATAAAGCTAAATACAGTGCAAGTTCTACTCCAATCAAAAATCTGCATAATGCAGAAAAGTTTTCTGATTCAAATGCATGTCCAAAACGAACATTATCACAGAAAAAACACAGATCAGTGTCTCATTCAAAAAGCTGCAATTCAAATTCTAAATCAAATACTGGGAAAACCACTGCATCTAAAATTCGTAAATCACCAGTACCTCCACCACCAAAATTTGCAATTAATATTTCAGATGCATCTTCTCCAAAAAGTAATTTCCCATTAAAAGAATTAACAAACATAAGTTTGGAAGCTAAGGAAAATCTTTCTTTTGAGAAGAACAGTCGTAATACCCCAGTGAAGGACTTATCTGCTGCTCTTTCAGAAACTGATTCGCATGATTATAGCATTTCAAAACTAAAAAGAAATTCTTATTCAGGTCATTCTCCATATTACATACATCGAAGAGTATCAAGATCTGAGAGTTCACCAGTGTTTTTAAATTTAAACAAGAGGAGATCTTGCCGTTCACAGGAATTTTCAAAAAGTCCATCACTTTTAACAGTTGTAGGTAATGAGAATGATTCAGAAATGTTAAGTCCTGAACATCCATGCACAGTTTCACAAAACAGTTATCTAAGTGAAAGACTAATATCTGATCAGAAGACTGATGAATGGCAATGTGATATATAAATTCTCTAAATTTATTTTATCTGTTTAATATTGCTTTTATTTTAATTTTAGTAATGTTTATTGTATGAACAAGGAAATATTTTATGACCTGTAACTGAATTCAAATAAACTGATATTTTTATATGATTGAAAAATGATTTAATTCTATTTTATAAAAAATAAAACAGTTAGAAAATATATCGTGATCCATTGGTTAAAATGATACTGATTTTGAAAATTTATTTCATGCTGAATTAACTAAAACAGCCATGAAAACATTTAAATTTTACCATGAACTTAAAATATTTTAAATATTGTACAAGTTTAAAAATGTATTTCCAAAGGAAAAACTACTTTTTAGTCAAAAAGTTTTTTTACATAATTGAAATCTAAGGATAAAATTTCTGAGCATAGTTATTGCTTATTTTGGACACAGTACATGTTAAACGATCCATTATTTTCCTATATGGTTGAAATTAAATTTTCTATTTCCTGTCTGCCCAGCAGGTAAAATACAGCAAACAGGGATCATTGTGGTCCAGATATAGCTGGAATTGAGGATTTTTTTTAAATTTTCAAATCCAGATTTTCCAGATTTATGAAATACAGACTAATTAGCTTTCTCAAATTTAATTTTAGAACAAATATATCATTCAGATATTGTAAAAAAATTTATTTTTAGACTTCCTAGACCATGTTCGTAGATTGTATAATCCTTCTGATAAAATTATTAAGGATAATTTATGAAATGACTGGATAGCTTACCATAATTCTTTGTATTTCATGAATCATTTTCTTTTTAGCAATTCCCCATCTCCAACCCTGTCAGTATGCATGCTTAAAGTTCTAATCAAATCCTGAAGGGATTAAGTAAAAAGCCAATGTCTCTGCCAAAATGTCTTGCTGATTTTACTGAACTTCTAATTGTTAACCCTTTCCGGCATGCTACCTTTTTAAAGTTGGAATTTTGATTTAAAAAAAGGTAAGCAGTCTAATTAGCCTAGAGGAGTACAGAAGTAAAATTTTGTGAAGATACCACTTATCGTTTTAATTCTGTGGGTGTGTCTAAAGTAGGCACACTGATTGAATGGAGCTTCGAAAAGAGTGTTGATGAGATCCAGAGAAACAAAGAATACATACTCTCAGTTGTCCTAAATTACCGGTGAGCCCGGTCTGGGTACACCTAGGGTTCGCTGTTTGATTTTAGGCAAGATTTTTAAGGTAAAAATTTAAAACTAATATCGAATAAGGAGATTAGCATACAGCCAAAAAAATAACATAGAAATTTCTTTTCAAACAATTCCTTTTATACCTAAAAAAATCTGGAAGATTTCATTGAAAAATGAGGGTCTTAAAAAACTAAACATGGCTAAAATATATGGACTGGTTTGTGTTGAGCTGCCATCTACTATAAATAAAGAAAGTTCAGAGTAACCTATAAATCCTTTTTTACATTCAATTTTTCTGTGCGTATAGAAGGAAATTTTTAGGTGTGTTCAGACCGGACACACTGTGCCGCAAGGCGTTAAAGAAAAATATAAACACAACCAGTTCCCGGGACTGAACCTACCCCCTTCCATGAAAAGCAAGCTAAACTTAGTAATTATTTTTTAAAATGCTAAGAGACCAAAATGATAGACAATTGTGTGAAATGATGTAATGAATCATAAATTAATTTTAATCAATTTAAAAAAGAATTAGACTTCTTCCTTATGAAATTGTTAAAAAAATATGTGTATGCATATCTATATATATATGGATTTCACATTAATATTTTTAATTATTTGAAATTTTGTAGGATTTTTATTCCATGGCAGTTTGCAGCTTTTTGAAATGGGGTTACTATAACTTCTCAATAAATTAATGCTCAATTAACATCAAGTCTGTTAATTTTGCTTTTTGAAGTTACTAAAAACAGTTGCATTTATTTTGAAAATAGCAATCCAGTTATGTATGTAATGTAGGTATGCTTGCATCTTTTTAATTGTAAATTTTAAGCAATTAATCTTGGATATTTATGAAAGGTAAAAACAAAATTTTTAATATTGGTAAATTTAGTCTTCAGAACATTTACTTATGGATATACTTTTAAGCAATAAGAGCAGTGGAGAGGAGGATTGATAAGAAAACATATTTTCTCTTGGAACAGTCGAGAAATGCATGCAGTAAGAAGAATTACAAAGTTACATAATCTCAAAACTGGAAAAGTGCATCTGTCTTTTTTTTTTTTATTTTATTTAGGTTAGGTTAGGTTATTTAATTACGACAAAGCCTCAAGGGCTATCTGCCTAAGGGAAGGGATGCCTTCGTGGAGGACTTTCTAAGGGGAACTGGCTCGTATACACGTTACACATGGGGAAAACACCCATGCAGCCAGCCCGTTCGCGGGATTCGAACCTTGGACTGAACTAACAGTGTTCAGTGACTTTACCGCTCAGCCACTGGTGGGCATTCTTTTATTTAGGAAAAGTGAATTATTTTTATGGCTGAGGTAGGGCTGAAACACCTTGTGACCAGTAGCCTTGATTTTTTTTAAAGAAAGAAAGATTGTGTAAATAGTTTAATGCTTATGAAAGATTTCATGATAAGTGCACTTCTTTCTTATTAATAGAAATTAGTTACAAATATTTATAAAGTTTTCTATAAATTTTTGACAGTTTATGATATGAGAAAGGTCTTACTCCCCTTGTCAAATTGACTAAACGAAGAATGGTCCAATTTGTGCAATTAAACTGAAGCTAATTCATCATAGGAAAGTAGATTATGCAATTAAACTGAAGATCATGGGAAAGTAAAATCACCCACGAAAAATGAAAAAGTTATCTGTCTTGGGACAGATAACTTTTGCATTTTTTATGGGTGATTTTATAAAAGTAAATTATATTATTATATATATCTATGGGGAAAATTTAACTTCATGCAATCCATTCACTAGAAAGAAACCAAATTTAATTCAGTATAACAAAATATTTCAGCAGAAAAAAAAAATTGCTTCATTATTTAATGGATAAATAGATGTGAAAGTTTTTACCAATGACTGGAACATTTATATTAATTCTGGTTAGGAGAGAGCATGGGATTAAAAAAAATTACATAAGCATAGCAAAAAGATAACTGACATGTTGATGTATTTGTATTAAAACTTGCTTATGCATATAAATAATATAGTGATATACATATCACCTGCTGTATATAATAATCTTTTATTGCGTTACTTTTCAAATTAAATATTCTTACCTAATTATATCAAGAATAATAAGATAAGTTTCTACCAGTAGATGTTAGGTTTCAAAATTTTGTGGCCAATGTAAAATTAATGTATGATAAGGGTCTGAAAATAAATGAAATTTAAAAGTTTTATATGCACAAAACTTGAATATTCTTATGGTCTGTCTGAAAAATACAAGGTCTGCCCCAAAATTAATGCAGCAATTTTTTTTTTTAAAGAAATTTATTAAATCGATTCGTACAATTAATATTCTTCGAAATACATCCCTCCTGCTTTAACACACTTGTTCCAATGTGATTTCCATGCTTTATATGCATCCTGAAGTCCGTCACAGGAATGTCTTTTAGTAACTTCATCATAGCCACCTTGATGTTCTCCAGGGTCCTTTAATGCTGTCCTTTGAGGGATTTTTTTTTAAACTTCGGGAACAAAAAGAAGTTGGGTGGGGGGACAAATGGTTCTGAAGCAACGCAAAAGTCTTTGGCATTTTCTTAAGTTTGAAACAAAACTTTATCTCATATCACTGCTCGAGAGTTTTTTCCATCTTTTCAGCGGAGCACTCACATAAGGGTTCACTGAAACAGGCACTGTGACTCTCCAGGAGCTCGGAGTCGAATGCTGCTGGTTGTGCTGTGTTCCAAGACTCTATTCACTCTTCAATGCAAGTGGCAACACTGTGCGATGGATAGTTGCAGCAGAAAAAAATGGGCGTATTACTTTCGGGACAGACCTTATATTAAATTGAAAATCAAAAGATAAATTTAAAAATGAGACAATTCTAATAAGATTTAAAATTATTTAATTACATGAAATTTGCAAGAAATATATACATTAAAAATGTCTTAATTTTTAAAAACATTTGAATTTTATATATTAAAACCAAATATAAGAGATGTGTGACACATGCAGTGTTGCCAGAAACTTTTTAACTAATGTAGTAAAAGAAGATGTGTTTTTTGTAAAAAGTCGTAAATGACGTCAGAGATCATGTGATTTTTGTGACATCATAGTTAAACATGCCCACATGACCTCTGATGTCATCACAAACTTATCGTTTATTGGTTCCATAAGTTACAAAAACTGAAATTTGCCCCTAAAATGAAAGAAAAAAATTACAGGATCTGTAGCCAATAAAATATATATTACCTATAATGACTTACATGCTAAGACATACACATAAAAAAAGAAAACGAGACTAAGTTCATAACTTATATTGATATAACTAGGGTGAATGTGTGCAACTGCATTCTGCTAGAAAAATGTTGCTAGATTAGACTAATTGATTGCTAGTCTTTTTTATTACTTAGCTTTAATGACAGTTTTAAAACTGTATTCATTTTCAATTGCTTAAATATCCATTTCCCTTTTTTCATTTATTTCGTATTGGACTAGCTGATTCATCATTGTGTGTTTTATGTAATAGTGGATGGTGAAACATTTGGACAAATGTGGAGCACTGACTTTTCTTGTAGATTTCAGCACTGTTGGCAAGCAAGGAGTTTAATGGCCAATGTAACTGGCATTTGACAAATAAAAAAAATTCTTTTTTTTAATTAATTCTCATTTAATTTAGGTTTCTATTTTTAAATTAATTTGGGGATATCCATTCTTAAGAGATTCCTCATGTTTAGACTTAGTGCTTTTATATTAAATTTTTTAAGTTGGCAGTCATTGTTTTTTTGCTTAATAGTGAACCTTTTAATTGAGGAGTGCATTTCAGTGAGTTTTCCATTCTGCATGGTGCATTCGTTTCAGATTCTGATTACTTAAGAAAGCCTTCTTCTTTCACTGTTAAATTTATTTGTGTTGTTTAGAAAAATGCTGTTGCTTTGATTTTTAAGTCATTTTGATTGCTTAGTTTTTAGCAATATTATAATCAGGAGTATAAATTTCATTTTTTTTCTGTTTGGGTACCCGATATATGGC